ATTGTCCATAGAAAAATGTGGATTCCATACTTAATTTAAAAATATTTTTTTTAAAAAGAGTTAATTTTAGTAATACATTTTACATAACCAGATATGTCTGGGATTTTCTTAATGTTACCTATACAACAATTAATGAGTTATTTTTACATTCTTCTAAAATACTGAGTATTTAAAAACAAATTTTTTAAAAAGATTTTATTTATTTATTTGTCAGAGAGGGAAAAAGAGAGCACGAGCAGAGGGAGCAGCAGGCAGAAGGAGAAGCAGGCTCTCCACTGAGCAAAGAGCCTGATGTAGAACTCAGTCTCAGAACCTTGGGATCCTGAGGCAGATGCTCTAACGACAAAGCCACGCAGGCTTCCCTGAGTACTTTTTGTTTTTTAAAATACTGCATCTTCAAAAATCCAGTTTGTATTTTACATTTATAGTATAAGACAGTTTGAATTGACCACTTCTCGTGGTCAGAATGGGATGTTACTATATTATGTGAATTAATTCTGTAGTACCATTTCTGTTGTAGTTTGTTATTCAGGCCTTACTTGTCATCTGAAACAAGAGGCACAAACTTTTAGACATGATGTGCAAGATTCAAAAGTGGTGATGTCTGTATAGTTCAATAGACGTCAGTGATTATGCCACTATGTTTGAGAATATTGGAGTTGAAAACTTGGTAGTTGTGAGCTGTCAGCTTTTAAGAGTTTTTGTTTGGGCATACAGATTTCTTGAAGGAGTGTGTGTTGGGGGTTCCTAAGACCATCCTTAGGCTTGGTGATTTGCTAAAAGGACACAGAAATCAGATAAAAGCAGAGGAAAAAAACTCATGATTGTGATTTATTACAGTGAAAAGATATAGATTAAAATCAGCAAAGGGAAAAGTGTGTGTAGGGTGGAGTGCAAGGGAAACCAGGTGCAAGTTTTAGTTATCCTCTCCTAGTAGAGTTATATGGAAACTGCTTCTTTTTTCCAGCTACCTTGTATGACAACATGTGCAAGGTGTTGTCTACCAGGGAAGCTTACCTAAATCTTGGTGTCCTGGATTTTCACTGGGGATGAGTTACAGAGGCATCAAGTACCCATATGACTATCTTAGCTACCCTGTCTCCACCAGCTTCCCTTATCCTTCTTCTCCTCCAAGGTCCATCTGATAGTGTGACTCAACCCCCAGGCATAACAAAAGCAGACATTGACCATAATTTACATTGTTAACATGAATTGCCTGGTGTGGCCCAAGATCTTAGGCAAACAAAGAGACTTACCAGGCAGTATATTCCAAGGGTTCGAAGTTATTTCTCAGGAGTCAATCACCGTTAAGTCTTTTCTTTGGAAGGCGCGAAGTTTGAGTTCCTTTGCTCCCAACACTGCACCAAGCTTATATATAGAGTACTTCTTTACTACGCAGGGTGACCTGGATCCTTACAAAGGAGAGTGTCTTTAGTATAAATTCTTACAGTGACAAAAGGGTAGATGAGATTGACCATAGTTCAATTTATGTTAAATATCTAATATGTTTTAAACAAATGGCATGAGTTACTAACAAGGTGAACTGTGTAAGGGCTGACTGAGAAGTAAAGAATCTAGCATGTAGGACAGCCCTACAGTAACAGTTTTCTTAGTTGGAATCAACTCTTACGTTTTACGGACTGCCTCCTATAAATTCACCTTGCTTGGTGATATACATATATTATCTTATTTTTTATTAAAAATTTAATTGGAGTATAGTTGACACACAATATTAGGTTCACATGTACAACATAGTGATTCAGTATCTCTGTGATATGTTATGCTCACCACAAGTATAGCTACCATCTGTCACCACAAGTATAGCTACCATCTGTCACCATACAACCTTATTCCATGACTAGAAATCTGTATCATCATCCTTCCTTCACCCATTTTGCACACACTGCCCCCTCTCCCTCTGGTAACTATCCATTTTTGTTCCCTGTATTTGTAGGTCTGATTCTGCTTTTTGTTTGTTTATGCATTTGTTTTCTTAGATTCTACATATGAGTGAAGTTAAACAGCATTTATCTTTTTCTGACTAATTTCACTTACCATAATACCCTCTAAGTCTATCCATTGTTCTTGCAAATGGAAAGATTGCATCCTTTTTTATGGCTATGTAATATTGCACACCACATCCTCTTTATCCATTCATCTATTGATGGACACTTAGGCTGCTTTCAGATCTCAGCTATTGTAAGTAATATACTATACACCAAAAAGAATAAAATACCTGGGGTTAAACTTAACCGAGGAAGTGAAAACCCTGTTCTCAGAAAATTATAAGACATTGATGAAAGACATTGACAACAGCACAAATAAATGGAAAGATATTCCATATTCATCGATTAGAAGAATTAGTATTGTTAAAATATCCATACTACCCAGAGTAGTCTACAGATTCAGTGCAATGCCTATCCAAATACCAATACCATTTTGTTATAGAATTAAAACAAATAATTGTAAAATTTGTATGGAGCCATGAAAGACCCTTAATAGCGATAGCTGTCTTGAGAAAGAAGGACTGTGCTAGAGGTAACACAATTACAGATTTAAAGATCTTCTACAAAGCTGTAATAATCAAAACAGTATGGTGCTGTCACAAATATATTATCTCTTTTAATCCACACCTGCACTTCCATTTTTGCCTATTATAGAGCAACTTGTATTATATTACATGCCCTGCAGAGAACTATTTGACATGTAGGGAAAAAATGTGTTTGAAGGCATTGTCAAGCTTTGAAGTTAGTCACACCTTAAGGAGTTAAGATTCAGGAGGGAAGGGAGATATATTTCATGCTGGTTTCCCTCTTGAGGTGTTTTCTAACTAAGTTATTTTGGGTAAGACAATGAAAGCTAAACATTGTAGAAGGGATAAAAAGCAACTGAGGAAGTTGAGTGGAGTTTTCAATAGTTTTTTGTTGTTGTTGCTCTAGCCCTAGGATTGTAGCTGGAATCCTTTGAAGGGGACACACTAAGAGTGGGAACAAATCAGAGATAGACCAGTATTAATGGTGTTTGAAATCCAGTCTTATGCCAGCTCAGTCCTTGATTGGATTAAGGTGATCTGCTCCTACTCTGACTGCTTGTTAGAAAAAAATTAAATAATCTCTGGAAGAAGGTAACATAATCTAGAGCCTCTATACTTTTCATACATATTTTCATGCAGTCATTACATACAATGTGTAACATTCAATTAAAAATTACTAGGCATACATAAGGCCAACAGAGATAAGTCAACAAGAGAAATAGGTTATGTAGACTCCACATTACAGACAAGAGCTTTAGAGTATGAAAATCTATCCACAAAAATAGATAGCAAGGTGGAGAATGTAACTAGAGAACAGGAATCTATAGAAAATCAAATAGAAATTCTAGAACTGAAAAATATAGTAACTATAGATGGTTTTAACTTGATTAGAGACAGCTAAAAAGAGGATTAGTCAACTGGAAGATAACTTAGTATATCATACTCAGTACCATGGATTTGTCCTTTTCTAAGGAAGAGGGGTTTTTCAGTATCTCACCAAAAAATAGCAGTTGTGTTAGTGCTTAAGGATAAAAAGAGTCCTCATTAGAGTGTAGTTACACTACACTATTGCTATTTTAGCGTGTGTGGTTTTTTATATTTTTGTTATGAATTTTTTTGTTATGAATTATAAGCATGTAAAAAGTTGGTAAAATATAATATTGTCACTTACAAATTTCTACTCAGTACCCTCCCCTCAGCCTTAGAGCCAATAAAATTTATTCATATAACACCTTATGTAGAGTTCACTTGTTCAGCATATTTAGCTACTTCTGTAGACCTTAGAGTGAGAAAATAAGCAAAATATTTAGAGATTCAAAGTAGATGCCCAGAGCTGGATGGTAAAACATGTATTTAGTACAGGGGAGTTAAAAGGCTCATACTTTTAGTTGGGCTAATGGTTATATTATGTTTGCAATCTGGTAAAGTTCCTTATCCCAAGTAAGAAATAGTAAATTAGAAAAGAAGTTGCAAGTCAATTACTGAGGAATTTGTTTTGGCAGCAAATCCTTGTTTGATTTTATTTGAGACACTACTATGAATCGTACCATTACTGTATGTACCACTAAGAAAAAAAGAGGCTGTCTTTTTTTTCCCCCCAATTATATTTTATATCCTAATTTCAGAGAGGTTAAATTGTGGAGGAAAAGATAATCCTGGTTTTAAATCTCAGCTCTATTATTTATTGTCCATTTGACTTCAGCCAGGGAACTTTTTTGAAGTTATTAGTTTATTTGTGAAAATTGGGTATTGTAGCTGCTATAGATAGTCTACTCTTCAGAGTTAAGAAGACCTAATGAATTAAGCGCTATGAAAGTGTATATAGTAATGGGTATGCATTTAGTGCTATGAATTTGGCTTTTATTCTTCCTTCTAAAACTTGGCATTGTTAGGGTAACAGGAAGAGAGGTTCCTAACAGCTGACCAAGGGGGGGGGAAATGCAATATATTGGTTAAATAAGAACTTAAAAAAGAAAATTCCTGTTGGAATTTTATACTATTTAATAAAGTATCAAACATCATTCTTTATTCTCTTTCCAGCCCCTTTCACTTCTCCTATTCCCCCATTTATATATCAAGATAACACTGCTTCCAATGTGATGGTTGACATTTATAATGATGCGACCTACGCATCAAAATAGTATTGATATTTTAACTATATTGGTTTTTAAAAAACACATTTTAGGAAAATTTCTAACCCTTCTAAATTTGGTTGTGTTGCTGCAAACCTGTATTTTAATTTAGTTTTGTAAAATCCCCTGCTCTACTGGTGATATGGCATAAATATAGCATTAATCAAAGTGACTAGATCTTGACGGGGTTGGATTTTGTGGTGATTGGTGGGCATGAGAATTTCTTTTTATTTTCCTGGTTGGAAGATTCTCAGTAAACTCAGAATGACATTTTTCTTAAGCTTTAAAATATTTAAGAGCTTTAATTTTGTTTTCATTCTGTTCTGTTCTTTTAGGATATTTCAAGTTGCATTCAGTTGATAGGATGAAAAAATTTAAGAGAAGGCTATCCCTCACTCTTCGAGGAAGCCAGACTATTGATGAATCATTGTCTGAATTGGCAGAGCAAATGACTATTGAAGAAAACAGTAGCAAGGATAATGGTAAGTATTTGGGGGCTGGGGAGGAGAGGGAAGGAGAGATGCTTTCCCCTTTTAATTACTTTATAAATTGAATGTGAATTTACTTTTCTGATAAGTTCCCAATAGCTCCTTTTGTTTGTTTCTTTGTCTTGTTCTCTGGTTCACTTAGGAAACAGAAGACTGTGACTTTTGCTTACTTACTTATTGGAGTGTTTCATTTTTACTCCAGGAGTGTTACTATACCTAGTCTCTAACCCTTATGGATTCTCCTATCCTGTTTATCTTTGTTTTTTATTGTCTCTTAAATGAGAATAATTTCTATAATATTATCCTGGCTGTTAAATAACTATTTTTAAGTTAACCTAAATTAATACAGCTTAAAAGTGTAAGTTTGTGAAATTCCTGTTTGAGGCTTCATCGCAGCTTTTTAACATTGTATATGCATGTGGACCATAGAAGACAAGGTTCACGACGTGAGTGAATCTTACTCTTCTTATTTTATATTTACTGCAGGGTCTATCCATAATATTTAGCACACTTAATAGTAGATCAACATACAATATTTCACATGTTTGGCAGTTCTGTAGTAGTACACAGATGTTGATATAAAATGAAAAGAGCTTCTTTGAGTGGATTAAAATGTAAAATCCTGATGAAATTTACAGAACAAGGCTGCATATTCAAAACTGAAATAACCCTAGGGATGTCCTAATAATAACAAGGAAGGAGTTACAGGAATGACTGCCAGTATGTCATGAAGTACACATTCTCTGGCAGGCCTTTCTTGCCTGTACCTGAAATTCTTCTGTTAGAAATTTGTGGCCTGTGGGTGAAAACATGAATGAATACCCCTACCCATTTCTGCTGAATGTAGACGTCTTTGTTGTGAGAGAGGGAAAGATACAATGTAAAGGGCTCTAGACTTTAAGTTAGAAGTCATGGATTAGAATTTGGGGTACACTAGTACACTTATACCCTCATTATTTGTATGACTCTGAGTAAGTAAGTTACCTTACTCAAGCCTCAGTTTATCTCTTTTCTCAGAGGATCATTATTTACTCAAGTCTGTCTGGCTAGTTGTAATAGGGGAGAGGAGAAATAGATGATGAGTTCAGTAGAAAATTTAATAATAATTTGGATATAACTTACATGTAGGAGGGGGACACATCTTGCATTTGGGTCAAAACTCAAAAGACAGTTTTATGTCTTACTTTTTGTACCAGGAGCAAAATCCTTAATTCTCGTTCAAACCCCCCTTTGAATTCTTGGTATTTTTATTAAGCCCTGTGGGGTTTTTTTGTTTTGTTTTTTGTTTGTCTGTTTGTTTTTAAGAGAGGGTGGGGGGAGTGGCAGAAGGAGAGGAAGAGAGAATCTATGGGGTTCAGTCTCATTGCCCTGAGATCATGACCGGAACTAAAATCAAGAGTGGGATGCCTAACCTGACTGAGCCACCCAGCCACCCCAGTGATTGTCTTAATAGTATTTTAGACATAGCATAGAAAGTTAAGATATTTCAGGATCTTGTCTAAGTAGTTAACCTTACTCTGATGAGAAGATATATTAAAATTACTGAATTTGATGAGGGGAATAGGTGACAATTTAAATATGAGATGGAAAATAAATCACAGTTATACTAAAAAAAAGTGTTTTGTTTTATATATACTATTTGGGGCTTTCAACTGCAGCTACAACAAAAATTACTTTTTTTTTTCAACTGAAATTCTTCAACTAAGAAAACTGCATCTTAATGTTATTAGGAAGTATAATAAAACTTAACAGAATGCTGCTTCTCATGATTATTTAGAATCTGAAGAAACCTTAAAAGGCAAACAAAGCTTGAAATGTAATTCTCCAGATAGTTCAGTTTCTTTTCTTTATTACTCAGTCTGTGCACTGGGTCAGTTTATTACAATGTTTAGAGTCAACGAGCCTAATTGATGGATATTATGAAACTTTGTTGTACTCCCAGGTTGTTTCCTTTCTTCTGATCTGATACATGATAGCAGTGACAGGTTTTTTTACGATAGTGGATGACATATAAATTCTAAGTAGTGCCTAACTGCTACAAATAGCAGAGGTCCATGAGAGGATGAGGTTGAAAACACAGACTATGGATGTGTGTAGGGTCTAATTAGGATCTGATATTAATAGTGTTTGTAAGAGCAGGATTAGGAGTAGGGAATGACCAAGAGTACAGGATGGGCTACTAAATTGTATGTTCCTGCTCAGAGTAGTTCACATAATCAGAAGATCCAAGTGACTAAGATGCATAAAATCATAGTGATTGACATGTTATGATGTTAAAAGAATCATTGGGAAGTCTTACTTTGAACTAACTACTTTGTAGAATAAGAAAGATCTGCTGTTTTTCATATAGATTTCCATTACTTTAAAAAATTATGTTAAATTATACATAATGTGTAATTTACTATTTTAACCATTTCGAAGTTTCTGGTTTTAGTGGCATTAAGTACATTCACATTGTTATGCAACCATCACATCTCCACCATCTATCCCCAGAACTTTTTCATCATTCCAAACTGAAACTCTGTACCCATTAAATAATAGCTCTCTGTTCTCTCCTTCCCTCAGTCCCTGGTAACAACATTCTACTTTCTGTCTCTGTGAATTTGCCTGTTCAAGGTACCTCATATAAGTGGAATCATACAATATTTGTCTTTTTGTGTCTGACTTCTTTCACTTAGCATGATGTCTTAAAAATTTCCATTTTTTAAAATGCAACATATTATCTTCATGAATTGCCCAGTTCATTGCTGTCATACTCTTGAAATGTTGGGATATTTTATGATTCATGGACCCCCTTCTCCTTTCTGTACACTCTCCTTAGGCTGATGTTGTTCAGTCCCATGATTTCTGATAATATGTGTATACTGACTACTTTAAATCTATACTTCTAGTCAGGACTTTTGTCTGGATCTCTAGATTCATATCCAGATATTAGTTGACTTCTCCACATAGGTGTTTAATAAGAGTCAAACTTAATACTACCAAACCAGAATTCTTGATTTCCTTCCCCCCAAATCTGCTTCCTTTCCAACTTCCTTCACTTAACCTAAACCACTTAAAACTAAAAAATCAGTAATTATCCTTGATTTTTCTCTCTCCTTCACTGTTCTGTTCCCCCTTCTCCCCTTTTCTGCTATTCTACTTTCCTTTGTATTTACTACGTAAATAATTTTTAAAAACTATTAATGATAGTCATTTATATGCTTGATAACATGTTTCCAGCTATTGCAGCTTTAAAATTTTTCTTTAGATGTTTTTTAATATAGATCCTCACTAAAAGCTGGATGGGAGAGTATGTATGAAAGTAATTTTGCAGCCATGTCTGCTAGCCGTTTGGTTCTATCTTTATAATATATCCTAAATTTGCCTACTTCTCTCCATTCTAGGCCAGGCCAGACTATAATAGTCTCTTCCTTCCATTTCCCCTCTGTTGATTCCCTCTCATCTGTTCTCCAACAGCAGCAAGAGTGATGTTTAAAATTTTTAAATTTTAAAAATTTAAAAGTTTAAACAACTTAAACAACTAGTAAGTTGCAAATGTGGTATCGAGAGGTTCCTTGTGCCCTTCTCTCAGTTCCCTCCCTTAGTTACATCTTTCTTAACTGTAGACCATTATCAAACCCATGAAATTAATACTGGAATAAATGTGAGTATAGTTTTTGTCATTTTATCAAATGTAGATTTGTATAACCATCACTGCAGTCAGGAGAAGGAAGTATTCCATTATCAGAAAGAGATCCCTTTCACGCTACCTCTTTATAGTTATACCACCTCTTACCTCCCACCATCCCTGACCTCTCAGAATGATGTTTTTAAAACGTGAATGAGATCATATTACTGCCTGTTTCAAAGCTACCATAACTGATTCCAATTTCAGAATAAAATTTGAACTTTTATGGTTACATACAAACATGCTTATCTCTCTGACCTCACTAAATATATGTAGTACAGCTACACTTGCCTTTTCTGTGTTCCTCTAACACAATGTTTTCAGAGTTTGATCCCCAGACCAGCAACATCAGCGTCACCTGAGAATTTGTTAGAGATGCACATTTTTGGATTCTGTGTCAGATATACTGAGTCAGGAGGTCTGGGGGTAGAGCCCAGCAGTCTTGTATTTTAACAGGTCTCGAGGGTGATACTGAAACATGCTTAAGTTTGAGGATCTAGCAAGTCAAACTCCTGCCACATGTTGACTTTTGCAGTAGCTTTATCTTCTGGAATATCTTGTAACTCACCATCACCTATCTTCCCAAGATAGACTCTGTCTTGCATTTCTATCTCTGTCAAAAATACTTCTACAGAGAGAACTTTACTCAGTATCCAGTGTAAAATAGCTACACCTTTATTTTTTATATATTTTAATAAAATATAAAATATTTATATATATATGTTTATATATTTATATATATATATTTTATACCTCTTTTGTATATTACCTATCATATCTGATGTTTTTATTATTCATTAGTTTCTTATTTGTTTCCCCTCCGTAAGATCTTATAATCTTAGAGAGTAGTAGCTTGCTTGTTCTGTTCACTTGTTAATGCCCAGGACCTGGAATGGTAGGCATACAATAAATAAATGTCCCCTTAATAATTGAATGTTTTTATGCTCTCCTTTTTTTCCTCCTATATTCCTTAAGACTGTAAAGCTCTAATCCCCAGGATAACCTTATAGAGCAACTAAAATATGTCTATAGACAGATTATTTCTGTATTTTATTATGATTCCCAATATGAAATACTATAACCTAGAAAGAGAAAATTTTTTCTTACATATTCTAGCTTGTATCCTACACTGAATATTCAATTTTTGCATTTGTTTCAGATGCCCCTTCCCCATTCATTATTAAATCATTGGTTATTTTACTAGGCTTAAGTTAAGATCCCCCACATCCTTGATCAGCCAGCAACTGCCAAGGAATATATAAGCCATGGGATGCTTTGGACAGATGTTATCTATTACGAGTTAGGTACTTTTCTTTTTTCCAGTCTGGTATTCTACACAAATTAGATAATTTGGGCTCTATCTGAGCCCTAAGGACGCTTTGGCCCCATCTTCTTCTTCCCATTTTCTTTTATGCAGCCATTATCAGTAGAGGTGCAGGCCACTTCGTCGTCTTGTTCTTGGTGTCTGATAAAGCTTTACAGGTAGGGAAATACCCACATCAGGAGATATTCCTACTTCTGATGATCAGCTACAAAAGAAGAGCTGGCTCCATTTTAGAAGAGAAAAGATATTCAGAGAAGCCTAGTTCCTTTTAAAATTCCTTAGCTACTACCAATAAAACATAATTATAATACAAAAGGCTAATTATTTGTCATAGAAGACTTCATCATGTCTTTAACCTATATTAGAGCTCTTCTTTAGAGGTGGAAAGCAATCATGAAATTCCTCATAAGCATTACAAAACAGGATTTCTCCCATTTATAATTAAATAACTTTTAAGTATTATATATTTTGTAAATGTTTCTGCTTGTTTATAAGTCTGTGATTTCTTAAAAAAAAAAAAACTTTATATTAAAAGTCCCACATTTTGGGTAATAAATTTCAGAACCTCTATATTGATATGTGCTTAAGTACTTCTGTGTTTATATATTAACTGACATACCTTTTGAATGTCTAGAAGGGAAGGATACAAATGCCTTTAGGTCATGACTATGTCTTTATATTCTATAGCATGCCTAATTATAAGGCATATATGAGGCAGTTAGTCAACGTGGGGGTAGTTTGGAAACAAGCTTGGGATATATTAAAATAAGCAAATGGATAAAATCTATGGGCTGTGTTAGTTTTGAATGCTAACCAATTTTGGTTATAAAAGAAGTGGATACTTAAGTGATTAAACCAATTTCAAATATTAAAGCATTTTCTCTAAGTATTTTTTCATGGAAATTATTTTAATTCTGGTTCTTTGTATAGATAGCCAAAGAATTCTTAAATGTTACTGATCTCATAAACCTTTTGTTTTCTGTTTTGCTTTCTCAATCCTTCTCATGTGATCCTGGATCTTGGGCTGTTAATGGAATGATTTTGGATACTGTGAACCACAGAGCCTATTGTGAAGAATGGCAGGCCTCCAACCTCTCACAGTATGCATTCCTTCCTCCACCAGTACACAGGGTCCTTCAAGAAGCCCCCATTGCGGAGACCACATAGCGTTATTGGAGGAAGCCTTGGATCCTTCATGGCAATGCCCAGAAATGGAAGCAGATTAGGTAATTTAATGGTCTTTTTTTTTTTTTTAAACTTTCTGACTGTAGTTTTTTAAACTTTCTGAATGTACTGAATGTAGCTGTTTTTTTTATTGTTGTTGTTGTTGTTATTTAAAGATTTTATTTGTCTATTTGACAGAGACACAGTGAGAGAAGGAACACAAGCAGGGGGGAGTGGAGAGGGAGAAGCAGGCTTCCTGCTGGGCAGGGAACCCAGTGCCGAGCTCTATCCCAGAACCCTGGGATCATGATCTGAGCTGAAGGGAGACGCTTAAACGTCTGAGCCACCCAGGCACCCCGCTATTGTTGCAGTTATATGGAAGTCATCCAGCCTTCATTATCTGATTTTTTTTCTTTTTGTAAAATAAAGATCAAGTTGAAAATAACAGAGATAGCAGAAAGATGGAAGGCTATAGAAAGGTACTAGTATTGACACTACAGAGGAGTAATATTTGAAAACCCGTCCATCAGGAAGAAAACAAAGCCCCTAGGAGATGGATGCTAGATTTCAAGATGAATGGCATCTCAAGATGGTACTTAATTTAGGGTCATACCATAGTAACTTCAGATTATCACCGTACAGTAGCCCAGTGCAATGATTCATATACATGATTGTCCCCTGAGTTGCTATTCTTTTTTTTTTTTTTTTTTTTTTTTTAAATTTTTTTTTTTTTTTTTTGAAACAGAGAGAGAGATCACAAGTAGGCAGAGGCAGGCATAGAGAGAGAGGAGAAAGCAGGCTCCCCGCTGAGCAGAGAGCCCGATGTGGGCCTCGATCCCAGGACCCTGAGATCATGACCTGAGCCGAAGGCAGAGGCTTAACCCACTGAGCCACCCAGGCGCCCCTGAGTTGCTATTCTTAAGTCACTATTCTATTCTAAGTATTTAGGAAAAATGCATACCTGCAAGTTTCTGTTTATCTCTCTGGTCTTTTTTGATAGCATTTTACTATCACGTTGTGATTTTTAAAATCATTTTAAAATAATGGTTTTATAGTCTCCTGACATTTACTGAAGTTTCTGAGGTTTTTATTTTACTCCTTGCTTTATCTGCTTCCTTTGCAATGGCAGGTTATTTCCTCATGTGTTTTGTTAATTTGGGGAATATGAGCTTTTATTTATAGTGGGGTTTCACCTATGGGGAAATGTATGTAGCCCTGTAGGTTTAACCCTATGGAATGGTGTGCTGGAGTTAGCTCACAGTGGGTTCATGAGGGATGATTGTTAAATTTTCAGGAATTTTGCAAGCTGGTTGTTAAATATAGCCATTATTAAAATTTAAATGTTAAAAACCTGTAATTAAGTAAACTAATTAAAAACAAAAGTAATGAATCTTTAAAAGTCACTATTTCCAAATTATTTTACTACACTTTACTAATACCGCTACTTTTGGGGTTCTGTTGTATCTGTAATAGTGAAAATTTTATGTAATGGTTTATACATTTCTTCCCAAGTCCATACTCAGTGGTGGTCATGTTGTAGCTTGAAGTTGGCCATGAAGGGAGTGTTTGCCTTACAGAAATTGGATAATACTTCAGATCAGGACTTGATTTCTTGTTATGGTGCTCGCTTCGGCAGCACATATACTAAAATTGATTTCTTGTTATGTTGTCTAGATTGGCATACTTTTCTGCAAAGGTCCAGATTGTAAAATTTTTCAGGTTTTGTGGGCCACATATGGTCTCTGTTGCATATTTTTCTTTTTAAAATAACTCTTTAATGATACAGAAAATATTTTTAGCTTAGGAACTATATAAAAATAGGTCATATTTGCTGATTTTGGTTCTGAATTTAAGAAAGTAATATTGAAAGTGTTTGTTGTATCTGTAGCTTTTACAGTTGTGAATGGCACAAAATTGAGCCATCTGAGAAGTAAATATTCTTTCAGTACTCAAAAACTATTACCTGATTCAGCGAAGAAGTTGCTCACACAGTGACAAATGAGTGAAATTTTGACATAAGCCTTCATTGTTTCACTTTTTTCTTATTAATGGAAATTAAAATACTGATACTCATGTTGGAACTATACTTTTTCGTTAATGACATGAACAGTTTCTTGGTTGAGTCAGGTGGTACTCAAGTATTTATTCATAGTCTGAGGTTCATATGCTCCTTTGTAGTCCTTTTGCAGTAGAACAGATTTAAGTCTGCCCTTTTATTACTTTGAGAGTCTCATGCCTTTCTTTAGGAAACTCTCACTTGCACCTGGGACATCTGACACTTCCCCTTTTATCCCAGTATGGCAGCTAAACCCGGACACCTTCTTACCAAGATCTACGACCCCTCCCTGAGAGAATAATAGAGTTAATCTATACATAACAGCTTTTGACTCTCAGTTCTCTTTGTCTTTTCTTCCTTGGTATTAAGCACAAATGCTTGCAAACTCAGCTATACATTTTAAAATATTATTACATTTTACTCAACATTTCCTTGAGGAAGGAAGGTTTCAGATTCTCCCAGAAATAGAAGGCATGGTTAAATTATCTTTAACATTTTAAAAGTGTGACAGAAAAGAATACTTGGACTCATATGTGTTGTATACCATCAAATTAGGAATCAGTTACCATTACATTTTATTGCCAAGTTAATTTTTTGTTCAAATCTTCACCTAAAATTTCTCTAGAGATCTTTATGTAATTGGAGTATATTCTGAAATTACGTATCAGTCTATTATAAACTATCATATTTGCAACTGCTTATCAGTGTAAGAATTTTCTCAATAATGGGTTATCAAGGAGTGCCTGGGTGGCTCAGTTGGGTAAGCATCTGACTTGATTTCAGCTCAGGTCATGATCTCAGGGTTGCAAGATCGAGCCCTCTGTTGAGCTCTGCACTGGGTGTGGAATCGGCCTAAGATTCTACCTCTCCCTCTGCCTGCCCCCCCCCACTCATGCACTCTCTCTCTCTAAAAAAGAACATAATGGTTTGAAGACAAAAAACAAAAATATAGGAATTTTAAGTCTGATTTGATAAGATCCTTGAGTTCAGTTTTCTGTTAAACAGTTCTCATTTTCATAAAGCATATATTCTTTAAAAATACAAATTTGTAACTATAAAATACTATTTTGTTTTACATACTGGTATTTCATATAACATTTCATTGAAAGAAGAAGTACACTTATCTAGTGTATTCTTTGATTTTTAGTTAATATTCATTATTGGATTATTTGTTGAGCACCTTCTAAACACCAGGAACTTTGTTCATTTTGGGGAATATAAAAGTGAATAAGCTAAATCTTGCCCCCAAGGATCTCATAACTTGGTACAAAATCATCTGAAACCAAAAAATGCACTTCAGTGCAGTGGATGTGGTAAGTGTGGACACAATAGTCATCTGTGTCTGAGAGTAGAAAGGATATCACTGAGTGATGACAAATGAACATAGTTTTGAAAAATAAGTATGAGTTCACCAAATTGGTAAATTGGGGAAAGGCATCTCTTATGGATAAAAGAGGGGGGGAAAGTGTGTTGTGTCAAAGCACTCTAGCGTGAAGCAATATGATACTTTTTGGAGGATGAATAATTGTATAAAGAAAACTGTGGTGACAGATGTGTTTGATATCTAGCATTTGTTTCTGGTGTGGAACTCTTGCTAGATGAATTACAGGATGATTGACAGATGCAAATAGGGAGCAGGTATATACATGTATATAAGTTTGTTTTTAATATTACCAGATGGAATTAATCTTCCTCCTCTCTTCTCCCATTTAACTTTTATCTTTAATAATAATAAAAGAATGATGCCACTTTGTATTGTAATTTAAATGTATTTTTTTCCTCCAAACAGGTTTTTGGTGGTCACAAACTTATTTCTATAATTAAATAGATATTTAGAAAATAATTTTTGAATTTTTAAGTTTTTTTAAATTTTTAACACTGTGGAGAGGGGAAGCTGCATTAGTGGCTTTGAAAACTTTTTTTTAAAGCATATTCAAAGAAGTAGATCATTTGACTGTAGACCCAGTGGCACATTATTTTACAGAAAAAATACTAAGTAAAAGGCAGAAGACCAGGTTTCTATTTTAGCTCTGCCTTTAGGCTGTGTAACCTTTGAAAAATCATTTAACCTTTCAAAGTCTCAGTTCCAGGATCTGGAAAATGAGAGAACTGACTAAATAATCCTTGTGGTATTTCTAGTCTGTAATTTTATTATTCAGCTCTTGATAATAACTTGGATGTTAATTGTTTGCATAGTTTTTCATAATCAGAGTGTGAAAGGTTTCTAACTAGTGTTTCAAGACATCTGAGTTACATTTGGATCTATTAGCTACACAGAGCAACCAGAATGTAAAAAACTTTATGATTTTATGTGTTGGCTGTCTATTGTAGTGATAATAAATTGTGATATAGTAAGGTATAATGCCTCTCTTTGAAGATAAATGATGTTTCATTTTGTGATACAGATATTGTTCATGAAAATCTAAAAATGGGATCAGATGGTGAGAGTGACCAAGCTTCTGGAACATCATCTGATGAAGTACAGTCACCTACGGGTGTTTGTCTTAGAAATCGTATACATAGACGGATCTCAATGGAGGTAACCATATGCCTGTGTATGTGTGTTTGTGTATATGAATACACATATACATCTAATAGTAAATATGAAGGCACATGACAGTGTAAGAAAATTGTTTCTTTGTATTAGTAAAGAATAGTCTTGTGAATATTTCCTTTGTTCTAATTAATCTACTATCCCAAGGCAAGTATACGTTAATTGTATTTAACAGTCTGCAAAACACATGTAGGGTCTCTGTAAGGGAAATGTGAATTTTCAAAAATACTGGAAATTCAGAGTGATACTTTAGCAAAATGTTTTTTTTTTTCTTTTCAGAAAATAGGATTTTAATTATATTTTTCAGGTTCATCTGGATACTTAATATTTTATAAATATTTCAGATTTTAAAATGTATACATAAAATAAGCACCAGCTTTTTTTTTTTTTTTGCTTTATATTATAAATATAGGTTTCCTTTCCTTTATGGGTTATTATACCTACTAATTTCTATAGAACATACAAGTTATGTCTTCATATAAAAGAATTAATACCTCATGTATAACCTTAATATCGAAATTGATTATGAGTGTTATTTCAGTGTATATTATAGATTAAAATAGTTTTCTCCAAAACAATTGAGCTTGTTTTGAATTAAGAATATTATTAAATTTTTTGGTGCTTTTGAGTTGAGATTACAGTGCTTGGGGTATCTGTCCTGTTGGTTGATTTGCATTTTCATTGATAAAATATTGCTTCTAAATCAGATAAAGAGCAGTAAAAACAGTATCAGCTTTCTAAATGATAAATTAATATTTTCAGCTCTTGAGATCAACTTGATATCTGTTCATATCACTATAAATTATATCCGAATACATTTATCAGATTATATAAATATAATTTTAATCATAGGTTTAAAAGTTTTTTTATTACTAAGATTTTTATCTGAACTTTCTCCTTCTTCCATTGAGCTGTATTTATATTTTGCCCCAAAGGTGACAGTCTCTTGATGATACTCTTACTTTTGTTTATTATTATAGCAGAAAAGACTTCTTTCTTAACATCCTCCACATCTTGCATAAACATATGTATTCTTATTCAGAATGTTTTGGATATTACTTTTTGTGTATGCTTCTAGATAGATTTTAAATATTTGTTCTAATAATAATGTTATTGTGATTTGTTTGGGATTATCTAAAATTTAAAACTAATATGGGAGAACAATTATCTTTTCATTATTTAGTCTTACAATTTGGGAATATGGTATATATTTCTGTACTTGAGTCATATATCTCTCAGTAAACATTTACATAGTTCCTATATATCTCAGCTTTGTTTTATAATTTGGTTATATTATAGATAATAGGGATTTATGTTTTATAGGATTTATGTTTCTCCGTGTGACAATATATGCAAGATTCCCTTTTAAGTTTCTCCGAAGTTCACATTTTATAAGTAAATAGAGTAGAATAAAAATGTGCCCCCCGCCTGCCTTTTGAGAGCCACCCTTGTATCCCTGGAATAAATTCCACTTAATTTTGGTGAATGACATGTGTATATATATTTAAATTTAATATTCATACTTAAATTAGGCTTTGTTCCCAACGTGGGGCTTGAACTCATGATCCTCAGATCAAGAGTTTAGTGCCCTACCAACTGAGCTAGCCAGGAACCCCTGATTTTTTTTCATGTATTGTTGGATCTGGTTGGCTAATGTTTTGTGGAGTATTTTTATGTCTATGTTAGAGATACTGGTGTGCAGTTATTTGTGTGTGTTTGTGTGTGTTGTCTTTATCTGGTTTTGGTATCAGGGTAATGCTGGCCCCATGGAATGAATTTGGAAGCTTGCTTTCCTCTCTTTTTGGGATAGTTTGAGAATAGGTATTAACTCTTATTTAAATTTTTGGTGGGATGAATCTGTGAAACTGTCTGGTCCTGGGCTTTTGTTTGTTGGGAGATTTTTGATAACTGCTTCAATTTTATTGCTGGTAATAGGTCTTTTCAGATTTTCTGTTTCTTCCTGATTCAGTTTTGGGAGGTTGTTACATGTTTCTAGGAATTTATCCATTTCTTCTAGGTTGTCCGGTTGCTGGCTTATAATTTTTCATAATATTCTCTTACAATCCCTAGCTTTTCTGTGGAGTCAGTTGTTATTTCTCGTTTTTCCTTTATGATTTTGAGTCCTCTCTCTTTTTTAATTTTTTTTAGTCTGGGTAATGGTTTGTCACTTTTGTTGATCTTTCCTTTTCTAAATATTTATATGAGAGAGGGAGAGGGAGAGCATGCACACACACACAAGGGAGGGGCAGAGGGAGGAGAGAATCTGGAGCAGACTCCCCACTGAGCACAAAGCCCAGGCTCCATCTCTTGACCTTAGCCAAAAATCAAGAGTTGGATGCTTAACCAGCTGAGCGAGGTGCCCCAATTTTGTTGATCTTTTCAACAAACTAGTTCCTAGTTTCATTGATCTGGTTTTTTTCTTGGGTTTTTTTTTTTTTTTTTTTTGGAGTCTCTATTTCATTTTTTTTTTTTTTTTTTAAGATTTTATCTATTTATTTGACAGAGATCACAAGTAGGCAGACAGGCAGGCAGAGAGAGAGAGTGGGGAGCAGGCTCCCCGCTGAGCAGAGAGCCTGATGCGGGGCTCAATCCCACAACCCTGAGATCATGACCTGAACCGAAGACAGTGAGGCTTTAACCCACTGAGCCATCCAGGCGCCCCTATGTCATTTATTTCTACTCTAATCTTTATCATTTCCTTCTACTAAGTTTGGACATTGTTCTTTTCTGGCTTCCTTAGATGTAAAGTTAGGTTGTTTAGTTGAGATTTTTGTTGCTTTTTACTTCTTTCCATTGATATAGCTATAATAAAAGATTTCAGTTGTCTCACTGTGTTGTGTACAAAAACTTACAGTATCTGCTTGGTTAGTTATTAAACTGGTCACATTTTGTGGTAGTCTTTGCATCTTCCTACGTGGTATAATAATGTCTAAGTAAATTCCATGTGGGAATTTACCAGTGAAAGGACTGAGAAATAACTGGGTTGCAGAGTACCATTTCTGTAGAACTATGTTGTATACTTTTGCTTACAGTAAATGCATTTACATTCAGATATTATATAAAGTCAACATGGATAACTTTGAAATTGTAATAAGACTTAGTTACTTATCATTAATAAATAATATAGTAGCCCATGAATTCAAAAGTGAAATGCTCTTGTCTCTTCTATTTGTGATTACCTACAAATACCTTCTTTCTCCTTTTTTTTTCTTAAAGGATTTAAATAAGCGGTTATCACTGCCTGCAGATATCAGAATACCTGATGGATATCTTGAAAAATTGCAGATAAACAGTCCACCGTTTGATCAACCAATGAGCCGAAGGTCTCGTAGAGCTTCTTTAGTAAGTTTTCAGTCTCCTATATCTATGCTATCAAATCTGTTCGTTTGATTTTTCTGGGTGTAAACATTTTACATTAATTTTTATATTTACTTTTTGAATAACTAAATTTTATTACATTCCTTTTTGGATTTTATTGCTTTCCAGTTCTTAAGGGTTTAAAGATACATATTGGAATATAATTTAAGCTATAGTCTATTTTAGTTTTTGGAAAAATTTTATTGATATATGCTAGAAGTAAAGAATAAGTATTAAATATATAAATGTATACTAGGAATACAGAAAAGTACATAAACCATAATTGTATAGCTCAGTGTATTTTTGCAAAGTTAATATACCTTGTAACCAGTACCCAAATCAATAAAAGAAAATTACCCAAATCTAAGGGGCGCCTGGGTGGCTCAAGTGGTTTAAAGCTTCTGCCTTCGGCTCAGGTCATGACCCCAGGTCCTGGGATTGAGCCCTGCATTGGGCTCCTCTGCTTAGCAGGGAGCCTGCTTCCTCCCCCCTCTCTCTCTGCCTGCCTCTCTGCCTACTTGTGATCTCTGTCTGTCAAATAAATAAATAAAAAATCTTAAAAAAAAAAAAATTACCCAAATCTGAGAAACTCCCTCCTGCCACCTCTCTGTTCACTTTCTCCTCCCACTTCCTCATCTGTAACCACATCCCTGCTTTCTCATGCCAAAGATTAGGTTTACCTATGTTTTCCATTGTTTTGTTTATATAATGCTTATAGTATATTTTAATATCTCAAGACTTTTTAAAATCTTCATATACATTCACATTCTTATTTAAAAGATGCTTTTGTTATTTCTGATTATTCATATTTAAACTTTTGAACTTTAATTGGCTATATAAATTATTAAAATACATTTTATACAAATATATAAAAATGTATATTCACGTTTATATTATACAATATAAATGGAAGAATAGACTGTGTATTCTTTTTTTGGGCTGGCCTCTTGCTGAATGTTATGCTCATGTTTCATCTAGTATGTTGCATATAGTTCATTTGTTCTTATGATTGCATGGTATTCCATTGTATACTATATTCAGTTTAGTTGAATAAACTAATAAACTATTGATGGACACTTAAATATTTGGGCTGTTTTTAGTTTTTGGCTATTACCAAATAGTGATTCTATCATCATTCTTGTGCATGTATTTTGGTTAATATATGTAAGCATTTTTGTTGAGTACATACCTAGGAGTGGAACTGTTGGATCAGATTGTGTTCATATGTTCAGCTTTCCTAAACACTGTCAAAAGAGTTTCCAAAGTGGTCATACCAGTTTACATGTGAGCATCATTATTTGACAGTTCTGTTTATTCTCCTTAGCCAATTTTTGATATTGTCTTTTTTTAAAAAAAAGTTTTAGCTTTTCTGGTGAGTCTGTAGTGTTACCTTATTGTGGTTTTATTTGCATTTTTCTGATGACTAAGCTGAACACCTTTTTATTTATTTTTTTTAAAAATTTTATTTATTTGTCAGAGAGAGCGCACAAGCAGGCGGGCAGAATGGCAGGAAGAGGCAGAGAAGCAGGCTCCCTGCTGAGCAAGGAGCCCGATGTAGGACTCGATCCCAGGATCTTGGGATCATGACCTGAGCTGAAGGCAGTGGCTTAACCGACTGAGCCACCTAGGCGTCTCTCAGCTGAACACCTTTTTAGTATTTAGTGGCCATTTAGACGTACTGTCTTTTGTTATTTAACTGCTGAAGTCTGTCATCTCTCTTCTGGTTTTTCTGCCTTTTTCTTATTGATCTATGGAAATTCTTTATACATTCTGTATAAAGAAACTGAGTTGTAGGTCTTGTAGGTATCTTCTAGCATATGGCTGTTGACCTTTGCAATTGCCTTAAGCGTCACTGATTGAAAGGTCAGCTTTCCCTGTTGCAGTGTCACCTTTTTTTTTTTTTTTTTTTTAAGATTTTTTTTTTTTTTTTTTCAGAGAGAGAGCACAAAGAGAGAGAGGGAGAGAGAGAGAGAGAGAGAGAGAGAGAGAGAGAGAGGGAAGCAGGCTCCCTGCTGAGCAGAGAGCCCGATGCGGGACTCGATCCCAGGACCCTGAGATCATGACCTGAGCCTAAGGCAGCGGCTTAACCCACTGAGCTACCCAGGCGCCCGCAGTGTCACCTTTGACATAAGTTCAGGTGATTGTATATGTAAGGATCTCTTTCAGATGGTTATAGTCCTGTAGAATGAGTACATATTAAAGTGCTGTGGAACAACAGAAGAGAAAGCAAGTAAAATGACCTTGCATATCACACGCTTACAGAGGAGAGAGTGCTTGAGCTGGCTCTAGAAGTATGGGTAGGAACTTGTCAGGTTGATAATAGGTAGAAGGGTGTTCTAAGCAGAGGAAACTTGATGTACTAATACCCACAGTATGAATGTATGTATGTTGGGGAAATTATAACTGATATGAAGGGTAAATGTGGAATAAGATTAAAGAATAGGGCTTGAAAGAATAGGATAAATCCAAACTGTAAAAAGCTTTGGCTATCAGGCCAGGTGGAAGTCTGAACTTCATTCATCCTATGTAATGGACCTCAGAGGTATTGATTTAAAGAAGGGCTGACGTAATCACATTTTTGTTTCATAACAGTGGCTTCAGGAAAAGTGTAAATGAAGTAGAAGGACAGAAAGACTAAAGGCAGGGAGATAGATTAGGAATTTACTCAAAATTTGGGATGATGTGGCAGTCATGTGGAAATGGGAAGTAGAACCCAGATCCTCAGACCATAGAGATAAAATAGGCAGGACCTCTGGTAGTCAGCTGAACTTTGTGTCTGAAGGAGGAGCAGTTGGTGAGGATGACTGGATTGCTAGCAGTTGTTATTTTTCTTTTTGCATATTATATCATGGAATGTTTTTATCCACCAAAAACTTGTGTTTGGTTACATATTCTAAAGAATAAAATTACCTTATGCTGTGTCTCACATGAGCACATTGTTATTTGACATTCATCATTGTATAATAAAGTAAAAGTATAGTGCCAACTGGATTTTGGTATGTAGGTTTATGATCACCGTAGTTTTGTTTCACTGCCTGAGACATTTTTTAAAAAGTAGCTTTGCCATTTGAGTACCCATTTGAAAGTGTTCTTTGGCTATCGATTTTTATCAAAGATTAGTACTTAGGGTAAATTTTTGAGTTATTGAATGTTCACATTGGGACTAAAGGTATGATTTAATTACCACATAATTCTTAAAGCTGTCCTTTATGAGCTATCTTTTCCAGTCTCCACGAAATTAAGGAAAACAGTGCCCTCTAATGAATGTTAAGTGATGGAGTTTTTATTGTGGTTGAGTATTCCTACTCATCTTCCTTGCTTTTTGATCCAAAGTGGTTTATAGATTTCAGATTAATTATGCCAGTTGGTTTCTACTAATGCACCCTTTTCATTATTTATCTACCTTGCTGAACTAAACCATGTGGTTTCTTTTGAAGTATATTAGGAAATTATTCTTCGCTAGGTTTTTGTATGAAGTGGAAGGGTTAGGGAATGGATGGAAAGGCGATGGGAGAAGAAATACATTCTTCACCTGTGTTAGAGCACGTTTCCATGGATAATACACTCCTTTTATTGCAAAATTTATTTATTTTAGAGAGTGTGCATAAGTTGGGGGAGGAGCAGAGGGAGAGGAAGAGAATCTCAAGCACAGAGCCCAGTGCAGGGCACGAAGCCACAACTCTGAGATCATGACCTCAGCCAAAAAAAAAAATTTTTTTTTTTTTTTAAGATTTTTTATTTATTTGACAGAGAGCACAAGTAGACAGGCAGGCAGAGAGAGAGAGAGAGGAAGGAAAGCAGGCTCTCCGCTGAGCAGAGACCCCAATGCGGGACTTGATCCCAGGACCCTGGGATCATGACCCAAGCCGAAGGCAGAGGCCTTAACCCACTGAGCCACCCAGACACCCTGACTTCAGCCAAAATTAAGAGCCAGATGCCTTACTGACTGAACCACCCATGCATCCCTGGATAATACACTCTTTATCTAAAAAAATAAAATATATTTTCAAGATAAAATATAAAATTTTAACCTTGTCTTTCTAAAAGTATAAAACTTTTATTTTTGCATATTTAATAGCAATGTAAAACCAATAGAGTAGTAAAAATAATATAAATCCTTTGAGTAGCAATTAAGAAACAAATCACAATTTCTGATAAAGAGAGACCTATAGTAGAGCTAATTGATTCTTCTATAAGTGTATGATCATCATCGGCAGTAGCAGCAGCCTAAAATGAACCTTCAGTATTGCTTGGTTGCCCTATGTTGTCTTTCTCTGGTTAATCCTTCCCCTCTCACTCTACACAGATGTCCTATATGATAAAGAAGAGAGAAGCCATTAACCAGAAACCGCCCTCATTTTTTTGAATAACAAACATGCAAATCTGTCTCCACTTGTACACATTCTGGCCTTTTTTTTTTTTTTTTTTTTTTTTTAAAGATTTTATTTATTTATGAGAGAGAGCGAGTCATAGGAAGAAACAGGCTACCCACAGGGCAGGGAGCCGGATGTGGGACTAGATCCTAGGATACCAGAATTGTGACCTGAGCCAAAGGCAGACACTTAACCAGCTGAGCCACCCGGGCACCCTCTTTCCTCCCTTTAATTTTGAGGAATTGTCTTTCTTCCTATCCCTTCTCCTCAGGATGATTTAGAATATTTTTGCCATCCTGTATACTCATATATATTCAGTTTCCCTCTCTTGACTGAATTCTCCCTATTTTTATTTAAATACACTTTTCATTTTAGAAGAGTGTTAGATTTATAGAAGAATTTAAAAGATTATATAAAGAGTTCCCATACATATACCCAGGTTCTACTGTTACTAACATTTTAGTTTAGTGTGTCACAACTAAGGAAATCAACATTTTCTATATTACTGCTATTCCACACTTTATTATTTCCCTAGTTTTCCACTAATGTCCTTTTTATGTCCCAGGATCCCATCTAAGATACCACATTACGTTTAGTTTTTTTTATCTTGTGTATTGGATTGGTGAAGTGCTGTTCAATATTCATTTATGGTTAAGTAGAAGTGAGCTGTTCTAACTCTTAACATATTTAGTTACACATTAGATTAGTGAGTGGAAAGCCCACTTGCCAGTAGACAAGATTCATTAGAGCATTGATTCGCTTAGAATGATGGCATGCTCAGTGGAATTTTTGTGAAACTGTTAAGTGCAGCTCTAGTACATTGAAAGTCTACATATGAAAATATGCCTCATTATATTTAAATTATAGGTTTTACACATTCACAGAATCTGCTCTTCCTAACAATGTTTTGGACTCCTCATTTATGGCTTGAGCAATATATATCATATGTCCTTTCTTATTTGTAAGAGTAGGTGAAAAAGTAGTGTATCAAGTCCTGATGTCTCTTAGAAATAGTATATATATCATGGAGTGTGGAAGTGAGACTCAAAGCCCACTCACAATTTAATGTACCTTTGGTATATTATGAACAGAATTAAGATAGTACCATACTGATGGTAACATTAATTTTTGGAAGACAAAATTAGCAAGTAGAATAAAGGTTCTCAATCTCTTTTCTGCCCCGGACATTTCTATCAGTAACAGTAGTTCCATAATTCTCACAAGGAGAGAATTGGATGTTTGAAAAAAATCTCCCTTTGTCCCCTGTGTTTCTTATATATGCATTCACTTTTAGGATGGCATCTATAGAACTTTTGCACATACTTCATTTGTTTTTAAGCTCAGACTACATTGCTAGCATGTTAATACCTCTTAAGGAAGGCACTTCTGTCATGAGCACTGGGTGTTACACGTAAGTGATGAATCACTAAATTCTCCTAAAACCAATATTACACTATATGTTAACTAACCAGAATTTAAATAAAAGCTTGAAAAAAAATATTTACAGCTATGATATGGTGATTATGTTGGCAGAGCCAGAGTAACCTGGAAATCTCCCATAATGCTCAATACTACTTACAGGTTATATTTAATTATAGAAAGGCTATATAATTTATTTTGGATTTTTAAAAAGTTTTCATGTGCTTATGCTATAAGAGTCATCTGAACAGGAATTTGATTTGGGCTGCCAAGAAAGCCAGCTATTCTCGTGGAGCAATGAAATAACAAAAAATTATCTTCGTTTGTTTGGAAAGTAGAATTAAGGAGATTTTATATTTTACTAGTATATATAAAGTTGGGGCTCCTGGGTTGCTCAGTTAGTTAAGCATCTGACTCTTAATTTCATCTCATGTCATGATCTCAGAGTTCAGGATTGAGCTCCACGCTGGCTCTGTGCTTAGCGGGGAGTCTGTTTGAGATTCTCTAGCTCTCACTTTGCCCCTACCCCAGCTTGTGGTGGCACTCTCGCTGTCTCTTTTTCTCTAAAATAAATAAATCTTTAAAAAATAAAATATAAAACTTGCTGTTTGATTCCTTTAGCTATTTCTGTCTTTATGAAACTTTTAAACTATCATAAAGTAATCTAATGATGGAACTCAGTCTAGATTGTGAACTCAGGAAAGCTGGAATCATTTCTGTCGTCTTCACTGTATCCCCAGTACCTAACATTGTACTTGGTAAATGTTGAATAAATGAGCTTTGTCCTCTGTCCTCTGAATAATTTCTGTAGGAGAGCATGTCAACAAGCTAGTCATTATATCTATTGTTAATCTTGTCATGTTCAGCAGATAAAAATGCAAGCAAAATTTTCTAAAAATTCCATTTAAAGATTCAGTAAGTAATATTGACATGTAATTATTAAAGCCTTGAGGCTGGAAATTATTAAATGAGGTGGTTACACTTTATTCTGGCAGATAATTCACTAGTGTAACTGTACCTTTTGTCTGAATTCCCTGCCTGCCTGCATGATGAAATTCAGTAATGCTCTTTATCTTATAGATTGATTATTCAAATTTAAATTCAACTTTAAAATTATAGTACAGTATTTACCTTTTTAAAAAGCAGACTTTCAGAATATTTTAATGATCTCACTAAATGTCATTCTCTGAAGAATGACTTTTTTATGTCAATATTTGATTATCCCTTAGTTTATTCCTTATATACTTCATATAATACAGTAATCTCTATAACATTTTTATCTTTACAGGGAATTTGTAGTCCATTTACATACTCTTTAAAGCAAATATCAGCATTTTTGTCATAGCCACTAGACCATTGGACCAAAGTGTATTTAATGTTTTAAAGGAGTGCTAGTATTTATTTACCTAAAATAAAAGAGTGAACAAGAAAATTTCCCAACTCCTGTTAAGAAAAAGTTTCTAGCTTGCAGTCATATTTTTCTTTATGGTTCTTATTATTATAAGATATTTTTATTTTTCTCAGGGTCATTCATTGTTTTGTTTATACTAGTTTCCATTTATTATCAATACAGTTTTTTCCCCTTCATGTAAGATAGGACACAAAACTTAAAATTCATGGCAGAAGTGCAGTAATTCCATATTTGTGAGTTTCATGAATTCTAGAGATAGGTCTAAGAAAATAAACACATTCTACCATAATTTATGTGACCCTAGCAATTAGCTTTTTTTCAAAGTAGTTGTGATCCTAGCTCAATAGACAATAGATAACACTAAAAGACTATTCAGGATCAGGCTCTCATGTACCAGATAGTGGGCGATTTGCCACATTTTCCCTATTAAAGTTAAAAAACTCCATTTGTATTTGGAAAGTGTTACCTATTGTAGTTTTTATTATTCTGCAGTTACTGATAATAGAAAGCAAGGACTTAGTATCTCTCAATCACATATAAGACAGTGTACATGGGTGGATTGTGTGTGACGGTTCCAAAATCTCATTTTTTAAAAAAAATAAAATTGCTTAAAAATACCACATAGTGAGGGGCGCCTGGGTGGCTCAGTGGGTTAAGCCGCTGCCTTCGGCTCAGGTCATGATCTCAGGGTCCTGGGATCGAGTCCCGCATCGGGTTCTCTGCTCGGCAGGGAACCTGCTTCCCTCTCTCTCTCTCTCTCTCTGCCTGCCTCTCCGTCTACTTGTGATCTCTCTCTCTGTCAAATAAATAAATAAATAAAATCTTAAAAAAAAAAAAAAAATACCACATAGTGAGAAGAATTTTAGAGAGGGCAAAAAGTTTTGCAGTCATCCATTAATACCACCTGTGACTGAAGTTTTTATTAGTTTAGCAAAATTGAATTAAGTACTATTAGACATACAGTTTTCCTCATGGTTTTTAACATGATATAAATCATTGTAACAGAAGGATTAAAAATGTGTCAATTATGCTTTACTAAAAACAGTAAAATTTAATTTAAAAAGATAACAGCTTATTTGGGGGACCTGTGCTATTTTTGGCCTTTCAACTTTGGGCAATTTACCCTACCAACATGGTAAGTGATGTTAAGTCAAATTGTCAAGTACTGTTTTTATTTTATTCAACACTTGTGGAAAAATTGCATATTTGAACCTTTAGAATTGGACTAAAACATAGTATTTAAGGACCCAGTGTTATTTATACAACTTTGAGAGCTGAGATTGTGTATAAAAAAACATTGTTTCCTTTCACTGGCTATTTGTTTAAGGGCGTGAGCGGGCGTGAGCACCATTCTCAGTGAGAAGTGAATCTTTAGACTATTACCTTTTCTAGGACCTACAAAGGAGTAAGAGAAAGCAATTTTAAGAAAATTCTTAATTTATCTGTTGCTGCTCTCTCAATTCCTGAGTTTTCATCTCTGTATTTTTTTCTTTTTCCTTAAATTTTTTTGTTGAGGCTTTTTGTTTTTAGTTTTTAAATACTAAGTTTCCATTACATATTTGGGTGTATTCCATCTACTTCGTTTATTGACTCCATATAGAAATGAGGCAAACAAGCTCAAGGTTTAAAAGCAGTGGTTTTACAAACTTATTTTTAAGGACTTTTTGAGAAAGGGTAGGGGTGTCAGATTTAGACTTACTACTTCTGCGTTAGTTTCCTGATCCATAATGGAGTGTGACTTGCACTTGTCTTTTTCATTACATTTTGGTTAGAAAACCTGAAACAAGTAGTATTTTGTTGTTTGCAGTCTTTCCTAGGGAAGTAGAAGATTAGTGAAGGAAAATATGTAGGAAAATTACTTACTTTGCAGTTTTGCTAAAAAGGAAATCATGTAGTTGTCTTTTATAAAGTTCTTTAGTATCTTAAAATGCCTGTGGTGTCTTAAAATCTCAGGGCCTTAAATGAAAACATTTTTTCTTAGCAGAATGTTAACCAATCTATATAAAAAGATGATTTTTTTTTAATTGTGAACTTTGATGTTTTAGAACCTTTGAATGTTCCAACATTGGATGTATTTTAAAACTTGACAGATGTTCAACAATTTAATTATAATCAGATTTTTCTATTTCAAGACACTCTTTAGATCAGGAAAGTTTCAGAAGTTGAGGAAGAGGGGTGCCTGGTTGGCTCAGTTGGTAGATCATGTGACTCTTGATCTTGGGGTCATGAGTTCAAGCCCCATGTTTGGTGTGGAGCTTACCTTAGAAGAAATAATAAAAATAAAGTGCACTCTTTTAAAAAGAAAAAGGATAATATTTAAAAAAAAATTGGGGAAGGAATAGATTGAAATTTTAAGAATACTAAATTTGTAATTGTTTGCTTTCAGTCAGAAATTGGGTTTGGAAAAATGGAAACCTATATCAAATTGGAAAAGCTTGGAGAGGTAAGTAAATATTTATTTCAATAATATAAAACACCTTTTTTTTTCTTGTTCATTATCCAAAGTCCACAGTTAGTCCACAGATTTTTACAACCTAGGGGGGAAAAAGTGTAAGCACTGTTGTCTAAAAGATTATATCTTGTACAGAAAAGGCCACAGAATGTTAGAAGGAAGAAAACCTTCAATTCTTGAAATTATGGCATCAATTTGAAAGGAAATGAGTTTTTTTAGTTTGTAATCTTTTATTGAAGCAAAAAATACTGTGCTTTCTTGGTAACAAAATAGACATCTATCTGTTAACCTCCTGGTAGTCTGTCATCTGTGCTGTCATATGGAAAATTAAATGAGTTCAAACCTATGAGAAATCAAAATTTTATCTCTAAAGATGAAGACACATCTTATTGAAAGTTAAGGAAATTTTTGGCTAAGAAGACCTTGGTTTTCTTGAACTTGATACTAGTCCTGACTAATTTCGAAGTGGTCTTCCTCCCAGGTTGAGAAAGGGCCAGGCAGAAGATAATGGAATTAGCTAATAGAGGAAGCTTAAGAGAATTTGTGGGCTATCTTGGCAATGATAGAAGAAATCTCCTGTAGAATATATTTGAATATACTTGTTCTTTAAAGGAGAGTGAATGTACACAAATTCTGAGAATTCTGAGAACTGATTAAATTTTTCTAATTTAACATTATGTCAGTTACGTTTTCAGTTAATATACTCAATTAGTTGCCTCAAAGTCCACATACCACTGCAGGTAAAGTACCTTTGATTCTAAAGCTACTGATCCAGTTGCTAATCAGATATTCTATCTAGGTTTTCATACCTTGAGGCACTCCATAGGATTCTAAGAATATGAAAGCTCTGTATATGGTACTGAAAGTCCTCTTAGCTATAAGAAAACCAAGACAAAACATTGTAGAGTTTTCCTTGCAAAATGGACTTTAACGTATGATTACAAATTAGGAATTTAGTTAGGGTTCTTTATTGTGTAGATGCTATAGATGGACTCAGGATATTTTGATGTGTCTTTCAAAAATATATTTTACAGGGTACATATGCAACAGTATATAAAGGAAGAAGTAAATTGACAGAGAATTTGGTGGCATTAAAAGAGATCCGGTTGGAACATGAAGAAGGTGCACCCTGCACAGCTATAAGAGAAGGTAAAATTTGATCTTTGCGAGCAAAATGAATAAAAGAATTTATATAGAATGTTTTAAAACCAAAGCTGCATAACAAGAGTTCATTTTTTTTGTAAGTAGAAAGAGCTCAGAGATAGGTAACTGGGAGATATATTTAGACATTTAAAAAGCTAATATTTAAAGTCAAAATATTTAACAGTATTAATTATTATCATATAGTAAGATACTATGAAGTCATTAAAAATTATTGTCCTGGGTAAATATTTGACATTGGGAAATGTTATGTATTATCTATGGGGTAAGGAAACTATAAATTAATATACACAGAACGTAAATACCAGGATACCATTTTTTTTTTTTTTTTTTTTAAAGCTAGATTATCCAGAAAATGGCTTGAAGCAACTCATGAGCAGTTTGGAGGGAAAAAATGGTATCCTAAACTACATCTAAATTAATCTTATATGTCTCAATAAGTTAATATTTGAGGAAAAAACAGAAGAAGATATTATGGAGAATATTATTGTAACATTGGGAACAGTTTGAAGTATTAAAAATAAACCCAAAGCCATAAAATGAAAGAAGAAAAATGATTCTGTTAAAATTTATACTATACTATAGATAGTATAATTTATGCTATAGATCACATTGGTGAAGTTTTAGTTTACACTTAAGAGAATCTTAAACTCACTTCATGTGTTAAACTTCAGATTTTTATAGTATGGCTACCACAGACTGAGTAATTGACTTTTTTTTTTTTTTTTTTTTTTTTGCAGTTTCACTATTAAAGGATCTAAAACATGCAAATATAGTAACCTTACATGACATTGTTCATACAGATAAATCTTTAACTCTGGTCTTTGAGTATCTGGTAAGCATTTAGTATCTGGTAAGCATTTAGCGAAAATTCAGTATGTACTTTTACAATAATAAGACATAAGAAATTGAGTTAACAGCTCCAGGGCATAGCTGTTGAGTTACTGATATTTAACTAATTTTGTGTTGCACATAATTGAACTATGTGTTGCACATTTAATATCTTTACTCAAAGGAAAAAACGCTTTTAAAAATTAAATAGTATTGAGTAAATCAGCCATGCCTTCTGAGAAGTATGTATCACATAGTAAAGTACTGTATTTTTTCAGGATAAGGACCTAAAACAGTACATGGACGACTGTGGAAACATCATGAGTATGCACAATGTAAAGGTATGTTTTAGTGTGTCATTTTAAATAGCCCTTATATTTTTCAAACATAGAAAGTAACAGGAATATATAGAAATAGTAATTTTAGAGTTTTCAAAATATGCAAATATGTAGTGTGTGGAAACTGCTGCTTAGAATTTCTTCAGGCCTGTTGTTCAGCTTCCTGCCTTGGCTTATTAATGTCCTAATGCTCTACTTTTCACCTATAAGTAAACTGGTGATACATTCTTGAATCCTCTGTACTTGAAGCTCTTTGTTGTCAACTCCATAGAATCGAAGACCTGTGTTCCACATCCCTTTTTCTACCAAAAAAAAAAAAAAAGTCTACCATTAGCTTTATAGGAATTGCTTTTTTCAGAGAGTCATTCAGAGCTCTACAGTGCTAATTCCCTTTTCTGAATCATAGCAGATTTTGAAGGCTGTGTAGGAGGTGCAGAAAGTAAAGTACCCAGAGGGTGGGTGATGGAAGCTGGTTTAGGTTATTTTTATAGCACGTAATTTGCCAGAGCTATGCAGCACCATTCTCTTTGACACCTCAGAATCTTTATAAAACCACCAGTTCCAATGCCTTATTTTAACAACACTGTCCCAGATCAGGTTTTTTTTGGTGAGGGGTGGGGGGTGGGGGGGAGTTTTGGTTAGTTGTTTTGCCAGAATATCATAAATTGTAAGCCTTAGTAGGCCTATACACTTATCAGGATATATTTATTTTAAATCATTTTCTATAACAAATGGACTATTATTATACAAAGTTTCATTTCAGTTCATTTTCAGTGTTTATTTTTGTAGAAATTGTCAGACTAGAAAAATAGATGCTTCAAATAGAATAATAAATTGTAAAATTTGGAGAACAACTATATAAGGAAAGGCTTTGTACTTAAGGATGCAGGTTTTTTTCTTTGACTCTTCTAGACCAGTTGCTTTTTGTTTACCATAACATGCTTACCAAAGTGTATCTTATTACTTCTAAGACTGATTTCTATTCATTTGTTTCTGTAGCTGTTTTTATACCAAATTCTACGTGGTTTGGCATATTGCCACAGAAGAAAGGTATTACACCGAGACTTGAAACCACAGAATCTACTCATTAATGAAAAAGGAGAATTAAAGCTAGCAGATTTTGGTATGGATGTATGAGATATTTATAAATAGTTCCAAGTGGTTACATTTATAAGAACAACTGTTGACACTGTGTGATTGCTTTTATGTGGTTTGGAAATTCTGTAGGCCACTGAATAAGATGCTTGATAAAACTTTGGTGGGTGAGTTACATTCATGATGCCAGAAGGCACTAATTCCCAAGTATGGTCTTTAGACCCCTAAGCATCCTGACACCCTCTCAGGGCATCTCCAAAGGTATATATTACCAAAATTATACTAAATGTTTACTTGACTTTTTCACTGTGTTAATATTTGCCGTGATGGTCCAAAAGCAGTAAGGGGTAAAGCTACTGGTAAGTAACAGTATAAATTAAGACAGGGGCACCAAATTGTACTTAGTAGTCATTGTGTTCTTCACCACTGTATACACTTGGAGGAAAAAAGTGTCAATTACATATAAAATGGTATTTGATGAAGCAGTAAAACTCATTAAGTTTATTAAATTTCCATCTTTAAGTACATGTCTTTTTAGTATTTTATGTGATGAAATGAGAAGTATACATAAAACCCATCTACTATACATGGTAATACTATGGTTATCTCTAGGAATAGTGCTTGTGTGAGTGCAAACTGAACTAACCTTTTTTTTTTTTTTTAAGGAACATTATTTTTACTTGACAAAAATGACTGATGGACAAACTGGGGTGTCAGACTTAGGTATATTTGGTACACGTTTTCTTGGAAATGAAGTGAGCCTGTCACTTCAAGGAAAACAACTGAAAGTATTTCTTGCCAATAGGAAGGTTTGAGTTTTCAAGCAAAAATCAGATTTTGGAAATTTGAATCTGCCCCTTTGAGCTCAGTATTTTCCCCTTATTTGAAGAGTTTACTAGTGAGATCAGTGGTGATACTAACAAATACGGTTTTTTTGATATGTTTAGAAATCTAAGCATTTGGAATACCTGTATAACATAGGGAATCAATATTTCCCAAATGACTAGTACTTATATTATAGAATTATGCTTGGGTAAAAGATCCACTTAAAGTGCAAGATAGACCAATGAATTTGAATGAAACAAGAGTATGAGAAGTTTACTAATATAATTTCAGTTGCCACATAATCTTTAAGAAATTAAAACTGGTGTAGTTTCAGAGAAGAATATGCAGTTTTCAGAAAAGGCTCTTTAAATGTTCTTCCTCTTTCCAGCTTCATGCCTGTGTGATCTGTGTGAGATCTGCTTCTCTTTGTATAATTCAGTCAAGGCAGCATATCACAACAGATTGAATGCAAAAGCAGTTGTGGGAATATAAGAGTCGTCTTTTAAAATAGACTGCAAAAATATGAATAAGACCATTTGTACTAATTTTTATTTTCCTTTAGAAAAAATCTTTTTCATAAAAATTCATGTCAGTATATAATTGGTGATTTTAAATGAAAGCTGTTTGGGCCCTCAATAATTTTAAATCTTAATAAAAGGGTCCTGAGACTAAAGAGTATAAATGTCAGTACTGAAAGGTTGTTTCTTTAATATGCTTGCCACCAAGACTTTGTATTTATATGCTTATTAACTAATTAATGCTGTTTATCTGTCTTTTTAGGTAACCCAATTTTAATGAGATTACATGTTCTTTTTGTTTCTAGGAAGTAAATTTTTTTTATATTGAAGAAACTGTATAGTAATTTTTGTTTTTTGTTTTTTTTAATATTCTACATTTTGAGAATTTCAGTACTGTAATAGAACATGGTCTTAAAAAGCCAGTGCAGTTTTCACAATTAGCACTTAATCCTTTTTCGTAAGTGATAATAGTAGTTTTACTTATGGAATATTGCATTACATTTGAAAATATAAGTGTTTCAAGTATTGCTTGGTTAATAACATTAAAAATTCACTAAGTGGTGAATTTGTTCAGGAAATTCCTAACTTTTACTCATTTAACTTTACTGTTTGTTTGAAAGTATGCTATAAAGTAGCATATTTGCATATGTTCACGTATATTATATAGTCTTTTGAGCACAGTTGATGTTGTTACTTTCCTTGTAATTTTTATTTTATTTCGTTCTGTGTTTTTTTTGTTTTGTTTTGGTTTTGTTTTGTTTTGTTTTGTTTGCTGAGCTGCATTTACTACTGCTCCTTATTCCTTAATCCTAAAATGAATAGCAGTGATAGAGAAACCCTGTTTGCCTATTAGAAATGCAAAAATTTACTTTTTGGAGGGAATGCTATGAGTGCTTTAAATTTTGCTTCTAACAAAGCAAGCCAAGCAAATCTTACCTTTTACAGGCCACCGAGAAATTCTGATTATTCCATGAGATAGTACAATCAGTTTCAACTCTGCTTTTAGTTATTTATTTTTTATTGGTTACATAGTAAATATACTTGACTGCAAGTAATGGAGGGTCATATAACTTTGAGTATTTTATTGTAAATTGTTCTTGATCTCTATGAAAATTTTATCCTTTTTGCTGTGATTGATGAAATTCAGATCTAGGGAAGTACTAATATAGACAAACATTTTCATTAATAATAGAAAATGGCTTCTGTAAATATACTGTATCACAATTAATTTGGTTTGGAAGAGATTATTTCATTTCATATCAATATTGAAATTCTAATTGTGAAACGGGAGTCTGTTTGAACAAGCATCCTAGTTCAGAATCTCTCAGGAGCAAGAGAGTAAGGTACTGTGAAAACTGTAACTTGTAGTTGCTTTGATGCTATGCTTATTTGTTATACAATAAGCAAACTTGTGGCCTTGTCTTTTGTTCCCACAAAACCCACTGTTAATATCAGGAAGAGATATTAGAAAGCTATCCACATTTTGCTACCAAAGTTGGTAGGAAAATAATTTGTTGAACTTATTTTACCAAGTTGGGTTGGTAGAGTAAGACTTGTAATTAAATAAGATAGTGTCAGCATTGTTCCAGTTACACCCTTTAGCTGTTATACTAAACAAAAATAGTATGAGTGCTGCCTAACTATTTCAGTTTCTGGTTTTGAGTGCCTTTATCCAGTTTAATAAAATAATTATTCTTTAATGATATTTTTTATATTTAATATTTTAATCAAATATTAAAAGTTATACATAACAAATCACAGCCTAAAAATGAATTATTCCTTGTTATTTGAAATAGATTATATGTTAGAATAAATTCATATTCAGGTATCTTTCATAGTTACTTCTTCAGGTGATCAGAATTTGGAGGCTTAAAGATAGTAAAAACAACTCTCACACCAGTGGCTCAAGAGATGAAGTTGTAACTCTTGCCTTTATTTCTGGATAATCAGTGAATTCCATTTTAAATTGGCAAAGGAATGGCACATGGTTTTCATCAGTTAGCCAAACGCAGTGTGGTCCGTTTTATTTAAAATTATCATTAAATATAACTTAAAGTACACAATAGTAGTGTAATTTAGTCTAAGAAAACTAAAATTGGTATAACAAGTGAAAGTTGGAATCAGGTTAAAAAAAGGTAAGAGAAGCCTGTAGTTATAAGAAGTAAAACTCTTTTTTATCTCTGTCTCATTGGCCTATTTAGCATTAATTTAAGTTGCACTTGGAAATAATTTTGGCACCATGATTCATAGAAGGCAAATATCTTAAGTTTAGATTAACCCAGGCACTATATCAGGTACAGTCACATGCATAAAAATAAAAATAGTCTCTGATTGTGGAATTGTTATTATTTAATTACATAAGGATTTGCTTACACAAAACCATGCACATTCGGAAAAAATTCATAAAACTGATTTTTTAAACTTTAGGAAACTAGACAGTAGCTGTCTCAAACATCCTTTTGACTGAAGTCATGGTAAAGATATGGGTTGGAAAGTCCATTATAGACATTTTTAAATTATTTTCTTTTCCCTATGAAGGGCTAGCCAGAGCCAAGTCAGTTCCCACAAAGACCTACTCCAATGAAGTCGTCACACTGTGGTACCGGCCACCTGATGTGCTTCTCGGTTCCTCAGAGTACTCAACACAGATTGACATGTGGTAAATACATGCAGATGTTATTGCCATTTGAAAGAATGTAGCCATTAACATAGGGCATGCTAATAGATATTTGACTTTTAAGGAGATATTACTTTAAAGAGTGACAATATAAGCAATAATTAAAAGTTTTGACACATGAGTAAGATTACCTAGGTTTACCAATTCTACCGCTTACAACTATATAATAATCTTACTCAAATTACTGGACTTGCCTGAGTTTCCTCATTTAAGGAAATGGGAATAATAATAATAACTACTTTAAAAGGCTGTTTAAAAGGATAATGTTAAGACCAAATGAGCTAATACATATAAAGTATTTAGAAGAATGTTTAGTACATTGTAGTTTAAAATAAAACTATTCTTACCATTTAATATTCATAAAAATCCACTTGGCCTTAAATTGATCCAAGAATAATAAAATATTGTAGCTGTCTTCCTCATATCCCACTCTGATCATGACATTTCTTTACTCAAATACCTTTGCTGCCTCCCCATTTATTACCTATAGAGTAAGGTGTATAATTCATCAATCTGATACTTAATGATCGCCGTAAGACATCTCTAAACTATCTTTTTCAACTTACATTAGACTGTTCGTCTATATGAATATTCCCTCAGAAATAACCTGGGCTTTCCCACCTTTGCACTTACATTCATACCAATCCACCCATCCGGAATGCCTGCTGTGCATCTCTGTGCCTGAACCTTAAAAATGCAGCTTTTCATAAATCCTTCCTGAATACAACCTAGCATCCAATGACAAATCCCTTGCTCTGAAATGTGGTTGCATTTATTGACTAATGCAATAATAAGTCATATGCTTCCTTCTGTTGTCTTACATTGAACAATTATATATAATTTTATATAACATCTTAAACTTATTTTTTAAATTGTGGTAAAATATACATAACAGAAAATTTACCATCTTAACCCATTTTAGTTGTACAGTTCTTTGGCATTAAGTACGTTCGCGTTGTTGTGCAACCTTACACTCCAGAAATTTTTTCATCTTGAGAAACTGAGACTCCATACCCATTAGACAACTTCCCATTTCCTCCTCCCTCCAGCCACGGGCAACCACCATTCTACTTTCTGTTTCTGTGAATTTGACATTTCTAAGCACCTCATAGGAGAAAAATGATATAGCATTTGTCCTTTTGTGACTGGTTTATTTCACATAACATAATTGTCTTCAAGTTTCATCCATGTTGTAGAGATATTTGACTTTAAGACTGAATAATCATGATACATGAATGCTACATTTTGTTTATCCATTTGTACGGGCTGTTTCTACCTTTTGGCTATGATGAGTAATGCTGCTATGAACATGAGTGACAAATATGTCTTTGAGACTTTTTCAGGTCTTTTGGGTATTTACTTAGGAGTAGAATTACTGGATCATATAATAATTCTATTTTAAATTATTTCGAGGGACAGCCATACTATTTTACATAGTGGCTCCATAATCGTAACTTTTTGTATACCGTTTTAATATGTAAAATTTTACATATAGTGGTTAGATTGTGAGTCCTTTAACAGAAGGGACTGTGTATTAAAGGGACTGACATGGATCCTTGAAGACAGTGTTCATCCACTGAATCCCCATCCATTTTTTTTCCCTTCTCTCACACACGAACATACTCCCCATCCTGCCACCTGAATGTTCTCTCTCTGCTCCTGCATAGAGGTATCTTGAATCATATGGTTCTTCCTATCCCTGCTACCTACTATCTAATACATAATAGGCATTAAATCACTATTAGCGATGTTTTTCTTCAAGGGTCATGCAGAAGAGAGCTGGACATTTTAAGGCAGGACAGAGGAGGGGAAATGGAGGAATGGACAAAGCAATATAGAAGTTGAGACAAAAAGGCTACATATTAACAAACTAGCTTAGTTCGAGCTGAAAAAAATCTCTCTGTAGGAGGTTTTCTAGCTGGCTAATACAAAATTGTCCATCTCCAGAGGCAATCTTAAGGAAAAGATAATTTTCTTCATAATATGTAAATGGATTGCTTATTTATTTATTTATTTTTTTATGATCTCTCTTAAAGGGGTGTTGGTTGCATTTTCTTTGAAATGGCTTCTGGAAGACCTCTGTTTCCAGGCTCAACGGTGGAAGATGAACTGCACTTGATTTTCCGACTGCTAGGTAATAGAAATATTTTCCCAGTAATTTGTTTCCTGCATTTGTGACTAGCTAGATAAGACTGTATATTTAAAAAAAATTTTTAAAATTTGGTACTGAGACTAGGATAGCTGTCGCAAGAATTATAATTAGTTGGGGCACCTGGCTGTCTCTGTCAGTGGAGCATGGGACTCTTAATCTCTGGGTTGTGAGTTCAAGCCCCATGGTGGGTGTAGAAACTGCTTAAAAAATCTTTAAAAAACAAACTAATTAAGAAGAAAAGACTTATAATCAGCGTAATTATAGAGGCTTCTGTGTAACTTCTCCTTTTCATTTACTAAGTTCTGCCTTTGCATTAAAAATTGTATGCAAGAACAGAGAAGAGAAATACTATAAAATTGATCTTTAGCTTATTAGGAAGTATTTCTAGGTTAGGTATCAATTAGGCATTATCATTTTTATGGCATCATTGCATAGTCCCCAAAAAAGTCAGTATGTGTTTATTATCTCTTTCATTTTGCTTTCAGTTGAAATAGTCAAATCAGCTACTAAATGTAAATTGTTCTTTAAGATACTTTCTTAGTTCTCCTTATTTATGTATATTTGTGTATATATAAATTTTTATATATTTACAAATAGAAATTTTTTTTTTTTAAATTCAGGAACACCATCTCAGGAAACTTGGCCAGGTGTTTCTTCAAATGATGAGTTCAAGAACTACAACTTCCCAAAATACAAACCACAGCCTCTAATTAACCATGCACCCAGGTATTTTTTTCTTTTTCTTTAAGGGGGGGAAAACCCACATGATTCTTTCCAGTGTCTTGAAACATTAGCCACAGTAAGGATTCAGGGAAAAATATATAATACACATACAGAGTTCTTAAATATTTTAGGATCTAATTTAAATGAATTTCTTCCTTTTGTCAAATTAATTTTGTAATTCAGAGACCAGGGTACATAACTCACAGAGTTGAGCTATAAATAAAATGAATATAGAACATCCATATTAGAATTCTAGAGTTTATGTAGATTGTTCACTTTGTCAGAAGGAAGACATTGGTTAATGCCGTATTCAGTACCACAAAGACCATGATGAAATTTTTGTTTTGCTTCCTACAGAATTATTCTGTATTTTCTTAAAAAACCTAAGTGTTAGAAGTGAAATCTTGACTCTGACCCAAGATAACCCATCAGTATTTGGCCAGTATTAATGACATGATTTGTATTTGAGGGATGTAAATTCTCTGACCCCTCATATCCTTAATGTTGGCCATTTCATTAAGGTTTCTCAAATCTACCCCCAGATCCGTTTAAAACCCCCATTAAAATTTCAGTCAGAACATTTCTGCTTATAGAATTATTATATTTTCAATAAGTAACAAAGAATAACTAACCCCTTTGACTGTGTTTTTTCATGATCCCTTAAAAAAATAGAGTACACCCAAATAAGGTCATACATACCAAATAAGGTCAATCTCTGTTTTAATCAAAAGCCATTCACATTGCTCATGATGTAACACACTTGGCTCTACTTCCATTTATTCTCAAGCTAAAGAGAGTAGAAAAAACAGTTCTGATACCAAAAATATTTTTCCAAATATTTATGTGAATTGATGTTCTTATTGTTACTATAGCAACTAATAACATTCTAAGTAGACTTTCTTAGGAAGAATAACACTATGTGCGGGGCTTTTTGTGCATATCTCTTCCTTCTAAGTAGCATAAATCCTATTTTTGTCATTTATATAATGCTTGCTATTGTAGTGTCCAGTGCAGAAAATTGAAGCTGTTCTTTAAAGCAGATTCTCCATGACCTTAGCCCCTAGTTTGTCTGTGTCCAAGGAGCTCTGGATATTTGTCAGATGGCAAACTACAAAGAATTAAAAGAGTCTGGAGAATGTCTAGGCCACAGCATCCACAGTACCCACTAAGAGCACTTGGGAAATATTTCTTTGTTCACAGTTGTGCTTTTTTCCAGTGAAAAGCATGCAAAATAGAACCTGTGATTTCTGATCAAGAGGTTATCCCTTTAAAATAGTCCCTAAGCTCTCTACTACTTATTAAATGGATTTCATCACTATAATTATTTATCTTTATTGACTACCTCATTGATTTTCTAGCCCTAATTTTTAATTAAGTTTTATGATGTCATTGTGGCATATTTAAATTGAACTTTATAGGGTCTAGTACCCAGTTCTCCGTAGACTACCCTATAAAAATGTACTGAATGAATCATCTGTGTTTATTGTGAACCACAGTGATACATTTGGAGTCACTTGTCTCTTTGTTTTCACCTATACAGTAAGAAAATGATGCTTTTATATCTTGCCTGTAGTGGAACACTATGAAAACGATACACTTAAATTTTTGTGATAATAGGGGTTATTTTGAGACAGATGGTGATTTTAAAAAATTATTTTAATTATATAATTTGTTCTTCATTATTGAAAATTTGAGTTGAAGCCCAGTTTTTAAGAAACAAATGTCAAGATAAGTCTTCTAAGGATAAAACAGATTTGAGTCTATTTGAAAGTAGTAAGGGTGGCTGTTTTAGAGCACTTGAAGTTAGCAGATTAAAACCTTGGAAAATAGTTTTATTTGAAAAGTTACTATTGGCTAAGATCAAAGAATAAATTGCTACTTGTTTTTTGTTGTTTCTAGATTAGACTCTGAGGGAATCGAGCTAATAACAAAGTTTCTTCAGGTAAGTTACATCTTACTTTGTAATCACTAAGCCTCATAGAATGGGGTCAATAATAAGTATTTGTCATGACCATTAAATAAGATTATTTATGGTAGTATCTGGCATGCTTAAGGCATATGCTTAAGTAAAATTATAATAATAATAAATGATGGCTTCCCTTAATGTGTATGGGTCTCTCATTGTGACCCAGAACAGTCTGAGGTAGTCCCCTCCTGGCATTGATCAACTATGTCAAGGCCATGTTCTCTGCAGTTCATAGTATCTTAGGTTCTTTTTCTTTTCTTTATACTTACAGCCTTATAGGCTGCTGGACCTACAAATACCATTCATATCTTCTATTCAAAGCAGTAAGAAGAGAGGATAAGGGTGTCAGCCATAATAGTCCATTTGTATCTGGAAAGCAAAGGCTTTTCCAGAACCCCTGCAAAGCTTCTTCCTAAGTCTCATTGGCCAGAACATTAATTGTAAGAGAGACTGGGAATTGGGGAGCAAGATTATCATAGTTAGCCTAAATTTAAAACAGTCATGATTCATGATTGATCTGCTAGATTTGGAAGCATGGACACCTTAAACAAATCTAGATTATCTCATCAAAGAAAAAAGGGAAATGAGTATCCAATAGGTAATTTAATAATATGTCATAAAAGTATTGGATATATTTCCAATGATCCTTTGGTGTTCATGAGGAAAAGGAACAGCAAAGGTGAGATATTTTAATTTTTTTATCACTTCAGAAAATACAGGTAATTAAATTTTTAGTGAAGATCCGACTTCATCTTGGAAATTTGGAACTGAGATACAGTCTTTACTACATAATCTCAGTAACAACTCACATTAGTGTTTGTCTGGTGTACTCCAAATTGATTCTGAAAAAGCAGTCATTGTAGTTCTAAATGCTAATCTGCCTCCCTTCATATGTGTAGAGAAAACATTAATGAAGCAGTTCTTTGCTTTTTCACAGTACGAATCTAAGAAAAGGATTTCAGCAGAAGAGGCCATGAAACATGTATACTTTCGAAGTCTGGGACCAAGAATACATACTTTACCTGAAAGTAAGAGAAATTCTAAATTCCCCTTGCCTCCTCATTTTCATTTGTTCAGTGTTGGAGACTGTGGTGAATTAGGGGTGGAAGAGATTGTTGTTGGTTTTTAAGCATAAAATTTTAGTCTTTTTGTAAACAGATCAGAATTCCTTGAAGGGAAGTGTCTCATTTGCATATGTTTTCATTTGTTTTTCTTTTTTTTTGTTTTAAGACTTACTTAATTTAGAGAGAGTGAGTGAGTGAGAATGTGCCCCTGCGAATAAGGGGGAGAGGGAGTCTTGAAGCAAACTGCCCACCGAGCTCAGAGCCTAATGTGGGGCTGGAGTGGGGCTTGACCTCACAACCCATGAGAACTTGACCTGAGCTGAAACCAAGAGTCAGACACCCAACCGTCTGAGCCACCCAGGCACCCCCTTAATTTGTTTCTTTTAACACTAAGCACATTGCCACTACTCTGTAAGAAATCATTAGTACTTAGGCATGGGTTATTAATCTTACTGGACGTAAATTGGAAAATGCCATCTGATGATAGACATTGTCATTAGGCCCATTCTGGATTGCTTTGATTCAGTTTCTAAAAATGGTTTCAGGCAAAGAGTAATGAAGCATAGCCGAAACATAAAATTGCTTTCTTGTGAAAGTATTTTCTTTTGAAGATATAAAGATGATTTTTCTTTGCTATGGTCACTCTGACTTTACTATCCTCATGACAGTGGTGAGTATATTGTCAGTCACTAAAAGAGCTGATTTCTCATGCCTGAGTTAACTGCTTCGTTTTACTCATAACCTCCTTTTCAAAGATTACTCCAACATTTTACTTTAAAACCGAGTGAAGTAAATGGGGAGTTAGGATATTTAGGAAGTGAGATTCCAAAAGCTTTCATTAATTTCCCATTCTGATTTATAACTCAAGAACATTGATTCATTGAGTTTTGCTAATTGGAATCAAGAATCCTTAAGATTTCTCACTTAGAAATTACATGGATTTTTTTAATGAAAGATTACTTCTCTGGCAGAGATGGAAAGGAGAAAGATGAATTACAAGTGTTTTTTAAGATGGTATTTACATTTCATTACTTAGTACTCAGTTTCATAGTTTGAGGTGGGCAGTTAGGGTTGTATGGAACCCTCCTGTTGTTTTTTTTCTGAAAGTCTGTCATTATGTTGACACCCTGATACCTTCGTGCCATTATAGGAAGACAGATAAAGGGCAGAGAGAGTAAAAATCAAGAAATACCTTTTGATTAGGTCTCCCAACCCCAGTAAGTCCTATAAAGAGACAGTGTATATTCTCTGTATGTACATATTTGAGAAGGAACATATTAGAAGCATTAATTGACAGGTCTTTTTATTTCAGACCTACAGAGTTGGAGAGAAAATGTTCTGAGGGGAGATTATTTTGTTTGGTTTTCTTCTCAAAACATTGGCACAAAGGGGAAAATAGTTCAGGAGTGCGGTAACCTTGTAAATGTATAATAAATGTTTCATGTTGAATCAATGTACATTTTTAAACGTTCTTTGTGTAGTTGGGTTATATTTGTTTTAATAATGTTAGACCTTCACCTGATAGTTTTTGTCTATGCATTTTAGGTGTATCAATATTCAGTTTGAAAGAGATTCAGTTGCAAAAGGACCCGGGTTTTCGAAATTCTTCTTATCCAGAGACAGGTGTGTTTGTCATAAACCATTTCACATGTCGATCATGAAATTTTGCGTGGAACCAAGTTTTTGGTTTATAAATTGATCAGTAAAATTATTGATGTAAAAACTAATGTACAGTGCATTCCACAACTGTATGTTTAGCATTGCACGTACTCACTTTTCTGTATGATATGGGCAGCTCAGTAATTCTTCAGAGAGAAATCTGACTCAGTCAAGTCAGGGATCCTGAAAGCTGCAGATGGCACAAAGACCTTTTACAAGTGGCCTGGCTTGATCACTTCACACGCCATCCCTGGTACCTGAGGCAGAAGACACATCTTGTGCTCCCCTAGTCTTCAGGTTCATCACTTCGAAGCATAGAAGCTGTAGACTGACCCCATCAACAAAAGGGTCATTTAAGACAGTGCTGATCACTCTTATCGTGGAACATTAGTTTTGCTGGTGGGAACATTAGCTTCCTAGAGTCATCAAATATTGTATGTGGGATAAAACTGAACCTTGAACTGCCTCATAAAATGACTTTATATTTTAGGACATGGGAAGAACAGAAGACAGAGCATGCTCTTTTAAGTCTGATAAAATGATTTCAAGCCCAGCCCCCAGCCTTTCTTATCAATCAAGGACTCAGATCTGAAGGCAATTATTTCTTTTGGTGGACTTGGAATCTCCGTTTGTCTACACTGTCCTCTTCACAGTGGAGTCTTTTTATTTCAGACCTACAGATTGTTTTTATATTTGTTGTCACAGTGTGACAATTTTTTTGTACAGTTGGTTTTAAGGTCTTCTCTGCCATTAGAGCCAGTAGGTTACAGCTGTTGATGTAACTGTAGCTGCAATTTTTGTGCAGGACTGAGAAACACAGTGCATTATTTATTGCGGAATCATTGCTGCTAAATAACTACTGTCTGTTTATTTAACACAACAGTTAAATGCCTGAAGAAGTTGCAGTGGCTTTATTAGATGTGAATGCATCTGTTTCTCCTCACGAATTGTTTTACTGCTGCATTTCTTGTTTGTTTTTAAAATTAAACTGCAGTGTTTCCTGGAATGTAAATTTAGCTTTGCTTAACAGTAAAATAAGTGAGCCATCTTGAACACTCTAAGTTCATGCTATATAATTTTTTATTGAACATCCGCAAGTAGAGTAGCTAAGAAATTGATGAGCACATTATGTTTAGGAAAGCATGTGATGCAGAAGTTGATTCAAGCAAGTGAATATCTGACTTTCTGGGGATCTCACATTAGATACCAGTAAATTAAAGCACCGAAATTATTTATTTTTACCTGTCCTCATTTTAGATATATTTACTGCATATTATTGGATATGTGTATACTAATACACTTACCTATTTTCCATTGTGTTTTAATTTAGTTAAAACTAAACCATACAAGTCCAGTGAAATATGTGAGGTCTTATTTTCATCTTAAATACGATTCTTTTATTAGAAGGGATGATACTTTTTTGGGGAGCCATTTATTTCCTTTGGGGGGGTGCTGTGTGTGTATTTGTATGTTTTAATAACCTTCACTTGGAATCAGCTAAAAGCTGTAATATGTCTTTGAAATGAGCCATGATAAATACAAATGAGAGAAACAAGAACTTAGAGGATTGTTTTAAAGCATTGTGGGTATTAATGTGTTTATCAGAGATAGTAAATATTACAGTTTCAATTATGCATCTCTTTGAACATCATAAACACACCTTGGTGTTGGTAAGTGTTTTAAGCATTTGTGTTAACTTTTAAGGACGTTTGTTTATTTAGTGCATCTTACAAACTACAAATCTTAATTGGTATATTTTGAAATGGTCATGTAAATTTTTGGCTTATATATCATGAAAATAATCATAACTTAATTTTTTTTTTCCTGATATTCACTGTAAAACATTCAGGGGTCCTACCATTTCTGTTCAGGAAATCTTGTAGTTTATTGCTATTTAACAGTATTAAGTGAACTTTTGTATATTTCATTTTAACTTTATTTGTGAATAGTGATTGTGGCATGTTTGGGTGTTATTTTAATATTTCATGATACAGAAATTTTAATTTTTAAAAAAATTTTCTGGAAGAAACAGATTCATGTGTAATGGTGAATATTAGACCACTACTGCTTTTCACAATTGTAAATTGGTTTTATGTTAAACCCTGTAGCCTAACAAACTGCTGTTATTTCTAACTGACAGACATGTATTAATATTGTACTTTGAAGGTTATATATATTATGTGGAAATTCCTCCATTTTGTTTTGAAATTTATAACAAGATCTTCATGTTGTTAAAATGTGGTTTTGTTGAGTCACAGTTCTTTCTGGGGGAAGAAAGCTATGCAGAATGGGATCATTTTCCTTTATGGTTTCATTTTTAAGATCATGAAGTCTCACTGTGCCAGTTTTGATATTTAATTTATATTTGTGCTGGCCATTCATTTAGAAATCTTCACTGTAAATTTATAGGATAGTACTCAATTATAAAGCTGTGAGATTTTTCATTTCATAGGTTATATAAATGATACTTTACAAATTTCATATAGCTATCCATAAGTTTGATATTCTTACATATAAAAGGTGAAGAAATACATCCAGTAGTTATATAAAATTCTTCTTCCTAGGAAGTCCTAGGGATGGTTCTTCATTTTATTAAGGAATTTGATATTTTTTTTGATACTTGAGCACCACCATTCAGATCCTGAAAACTTTGCAGTGAAGAGAATTGAATCTCAGAAATTTTGAACCTTGAACACTTAAACTGACATGGTTTGAAAGGTAAGAGAGGATACCTTTTTTGTTTTCCTTCCAAGTGATATTGTTAACACACATTGAATATGTCACTCTAGGTGTATAGAAGTGGCTCCATTCTATCTGATGCTTTATTACACTTGGAATACTACTTGTTAACATGTTACAATAATCTATCTTTTGGATCCAGGAAAATTCATGAAGTTGTTTTTTGTATGCTTCTGTTTTTACGGTTTTGTTTTGTTTTAATTTGCCATTTTTACCCATTGTAAGTATTCAGTTTAGTGGCATTAGAGTTTTGTATAGCAGTTACCATTATCTTTGTCCAGAATTTTTCATCTCCAAACAAATGCTATACCCATTAAAAAATCCTCCCTCATTTCCCTCTCCCCACAGCACCTAGTAACCTCTAATGTGTGTAGGCATAATTCATTTTACTGTGCCACACTTTATTGTGCTTTGCAGATACTCCATTTTTTTTTTAAGATTTTATTTATTTGACAGAGAGAGAGAGAGATCATAAGTAGGCAGAGAGGCAGGCAGAGAGAGGGGGGGAAGCAGACTCCCTACCAAGCAGAGAGCCCAATGTAGGGCTCGATCCCAGGACCCCGAGATCATGACCTGGGCCGAAGGCAGAGGCTTAACCCACTGAGCCACCCAGGTGCCCTAGGTACTGCATTTTTTAATAAATTGAAGGTTTGTGGCAACCCTGCTGGCACCATTTTTCCAACTGCATTTGCTCACTTTGTGTCTCTGTGTCACATTTTGGCAATTCTCACAGTACTTAAGATTCTATTATTATTATATTTATTATGGTGGTTTGTGATTAATGATCCTTTATATTCCAGTGTAATTGTCTTAGGGGTGCGACAGATCGCACCCATGCAAGACAGTGAGCTTAATTGATAAGTGTTGTGTGTGTTCTGACTGTTATACCAACAGGCTATTCCCCTATCTCTCTCCCTCTCCTCAGGCCTCTCTATTCCCTGAGATGTAATACTAAAATTAGGCCAATTAATAACCCTAAAGTTAAAGTGGCCTGTAATTGTTCAAGTGAAAGGAAGAGTCCCACATTTCTATGTTTAAATTAAAGCTAGAAATAATTTAAGCTTAGTTAGGAAGGCATGTCAAAAGCCAACATAGGCTGAAAGGTAGGCCTCTTGCTCCAGTTAGCCACACTGTGAATGCAAAAGAACAGTTCTTGAAGGAAATTGAAAGAGCTACTCCAGTGAACACATAAATGATAAAGTGAAACAGCCTTATTGCTGATACGGAGTAAGTTTTATTGGTGTGGGTAGGTCAAATCAACTATAAACGCCCTTAAGCCAAAACCTAATCCAGAGCAAAGCCCTCTCTCTCTCCAGTTCTGTCAAGGCTTAGAGAGGTGAAGAAGCTCTAGAAGAAAAGTTTGAAGCTAATTGAGGTTGGTTCCTGAGGTTAAAGGAGAGAAGATGTCTGCATAACATAAAAGAGCACGATGAAGCAGCAAGTTATCCAGAAGATCTAGCTAAGATAATTAATAAAAGTGGCTACATTAAACAGATTTTCAGTGTAGGCAAAATAGCTTTCTCTTGGAAGAAGATGCCATCAGGGTCTCTCAGCTAGAAAGGAGAAGTCAGTTCCTGGCTTCAAAGTTTCAAAAGATTGAATGGGATGCCCAGATGGCTCAGTTGGTTGAGCATCTGACTCTTGATTTTTGGTTCAGATCATGATCTCAGGGTTGTGGGATCAAGCCCTGCATTGGGCTCCACACTTGGTGAAGAGTCTACTTCTCTCCCTCTGTCTCTCTCTCTCCCTCTACCCCGCTCTCTATGAAATAAATAAATCTTAAAAAAAAAAAAAAAGACTGACTTATTAGAGACTAATGCAGCTGATGACTGTAAGTTGAAACCAGTGCTCATTGACCATACTGAAAACCCTTAGGAATTATGCTAAATCTACTCTCCCTGTGTTCTGTTGATGAAACAACAAAGCTTGGATGACAGCAAATCTCTTTATAGCATGATTTACTGAAGATTTTAAGCCTACTGTTCAGGGAAAAAGGTTTGCAAAATATTATTGGTCACTGACAATGCACCTGATCCCCCAGGAGCACTAATGGAGACGGACAGCTAAAATTAATCTTGTTTTCATGCCTGCTAACACAACATCTGCTCTGGAGCCCACAGATCAAGGAGAAGTTTTGACTTTAAAGTCTTACTCTTTAAGAAATACATCTTGTAAAGCTATAACTGCCATAGTAGTGATTCCTCTGATGGATCTGGGCAAAGTAAAATGAAAACCTTCTGGAACGGATTCACCATTATAGGTGCCATTGAGAACATGGAGGTTTCGTGGGAAGAGGTCAAAATATCAACATTAACAGGAGTTTGGAAGAAGCTGATTCTGAGACTTCAGCAGAAGAAGTAATTGCAGATGTGGTGTATAGCAAGAGAACTAGAACTAGAATTATAAGTGGGGCTGGGAGATGTGACTGAATTGCTGCAATTTCATGATAAAACTTTAATGATCAAGAAGTTGCCTCTTATGGATGAGCAAAGTGGTCTCTTGAGGTGGAATCTACTCCTGGTGAAGATGCTATGAAGATTGTTGAAATGACAGCAAAGGATTTAGACTATCACATAAATAAACTTAGTTGATAAAGCAATATTGGGGTTTAAGATGACTCCAATTTTGAAAGAAGTTCTGTGAGTAAATTGCTATCAAATAACAGCATGAAAAGACTCTTCCATCCTTTCCGCAGACCTCGTTGTCTTATTTTAAGAAATTGCCACAGCCACTCCAGCCTTCAGCAGCTATCAGCCTGATCATTCAGCAGCTATCAATATCAAGGCAAGACCCTTCAGCAGCAAAAGGACACACTGAAAGTTCAGATGGTTTAGCATTTTTTTTAACAATAAAGTGTTTAACAAAAGTATATATTTTTTTAGAAATAATTGCACACTTACAAGACTGCAGTGTAGTATCAACATAATTTTTATATGCACTGGGAAACCAAAAAATTCATTTGACTCACTTTATTATGGTATTTGCTTTATTGCAATGGTCTGGAACCAAACCAGCAGTATCTCCAAGGTAGGCCTGTAATTTTTCTTTTAAGTTTTATTTTGATTTATTTACTTCAGTATATCTCTGCGCCCAACATGGGGCTTGGAATCACAACCCTGAGATCAAGAGTCGCATCTCCTCCCAACTGAGCCAGCCAGGTACCCCTGATATGCCTCTATTTCTTGTGTCTGAATTTGCCTATTGTAGATATTTCATGTAAATAGAGTCTTACCATACTCGTCCTTGGGTGTCTGGCTTTTTTCATTCACTTAGAAGGATGTTTTCAAGTTTCATGTATGTTGTAGCATGTATCAGAATTTACTTATTTTCATGGCTGAATAATACTCTTCAAATGTATATTTCATTTAAACATTTATCTGTTGGTTTCACATGAGCTTTTTTGGCTTTTGTGAATAATGCTGCCATGAACATGGGTGTACAAGCATCTGTTTGGGTCCTTGTTTTCACTTCTTTGAGGAGTTGAATTGTTGAGTCATTTAGTAATTCTATGTTTACCTTTTTGAGGAATCGTCAAATGATGATCCATAGTAACTGCACCATTTTACATTCCCAGTAGTAAATTATGAGAGTTCTAATTTCTTATCCTTGCCAACACTTATTTTCCTTTTTAAAAAAAATTATATCCATTAGGGGCGCCTGGGTGGCTCAGTGGTTTAAGCCTCTGCCTTCAGCTCAGGTCATGATCTCGGGGTCCTGGGATCGAGCCCCACATCGGGCTCTCTGCTCAGTGGGGAGCCTGCTTCTCCCTCTCTCTCTGCCTGCCTCTCTGCCTACTTGTGATCTGTCTCTCTCTGTGAGAAAAAAAAAAAAAAAAAAATTATATCCATTATAATACATATGACATGGTACCTCTTTGTGGTTTTGATTTGCATTTCCCTAGTGAGTAGTTTATTGAATATCTTTTAATGTGCTTACTGGCCATTTGTTTATCCAGTTTGGAAAAGTGTCTATTCAAGTCCTTTCCCCATTTTTAAATTGTTGTTGCTGAGTTTAAACTATAGTTCTTTACATATTCTACTTTTTCTTTAAGATTCATTTTAGAGAGGCGTACAGGAATGGGGTGGGGGAAGGGCAGAGGGAGAGGGAGAGGGAGAGAATCCCAAGCCCGCTGAGCACAGATCACCATGAGAGGCTCAATCTTATGACCGTGACATGACCTTAGCTGAAATCGAATCAGATGCTTAACCAACTGAGCCACCACCAAGGTGCTCCTCTTTATATATTCTAGATATTAGATGCGTATGAGGTATATGACTTGCAGTTATTTTTTTCTATTCTGTGGGTTGTCTTTTACTTTCTTGATGGTGTCCTTTTAATACATAAAGTTGCTCATTTTAATGATATCCAACATCTTTTCTTTTTTCTTTAACTTCTGGTCTTGGTGGCATATTTAAGAAACTACTGCCAAATTTAAGGTCATGAATATTTTCCTCTGTTCTAAGAGTTTTATAGTTTTAATGCTTACAGTTAGGGCTTTGATCAATCTTGAGTTAATTTTTGTATATGGTGTAAAGTAAGGATCTTAACTTCATTCTTCTGCATGTGAATGTCTAGTTTTCCCAGCACTGTTTGTTAAAAATACTGCCCTTTTCCCCTTAAATAGTCTTGGCACCCTTGTTGCAAATCAGTTGGCCATAAATGTGAGAGTTCTATTTTGAGGCTCTCGATTCTATTTTATTGGTCTACAACTCTGTCGTTCTGCCACTACCACAATGTTTTGATTACTTGTAGCTTTCTAAGTTTTGAAATCAAGAAGTGAGTCTTCCAACTTTGTTCTTTTTCAGGATTGTTTTGGCTATTCAGGGTCCCTTGAAATTCCATTTAAATTTTAGGATGGGGTTGTCTTATTTCTTAGGAAATACGCCATTAGGATTGTGATAGGAATTGCGTTGAATCTGTAGATCCTTTGTGACTATTGGGATTTGCAGTCCATGAATTCAGGATAGCTTTAATATTTTTTTTAGCAATGTTTTATAGTTTTTCATTGTATAAGTCTTATGCCTCCTTGATTAAATTCATTCTTATTTTATTCCTTTTGATGTTATTCTAGGTGGAATTATTATTTTTTGAGTTTTTCATTTGCTGATGTGTAGAAATAGAAATGATATTTGTGCTGATTTTGTATCC